CTATAACAATACTTCTCCCCACATACATTACTGACCTGTACGAAGTCCTCTGGAAGTTCCTTCAGCTGAAGAGCAGAGTAAAATGTTACAAATAAATTTATCATTCAGAGTGTTCCTGTAAGTTAGTGATGGGGCAACTTGGTGGTGAGGGGAGGAGAGAGTAGGTGGAGAGATGGGGAAAGAAGGGTCCAGAAATGGGCATGTGATAAATAAAGGGGCAGAGGGAAACTAGAAAGTTTACATTTACCAGGTGTCGTCAAACAGGCATTATAACATACTGTAAAACATTTCATGATCACATAGTCTAACAAACCAAGCTGCATTTGCTTTTCAGTAAATGTGTTACTTATGCATTCCTGCACATGCGCAGTGGTTAGTCTGGAACTTTGTACTAGAAGCTATAAAAGAGTAGGTAAAGGTAAAGGTTCCCCTTGACAATTTTTGTCCAGTCGTGTTCGCCTCTAGGGGGCGGTGCTCATCCCCGTTTCCAAGCCATAGAGCCAGTGTTTGTACGAAGACAATCTTCCGTGGTCACATGGCCAGTGCGCCTTACACGGAACGCTGTTACCTTCCCACCGAAGTGGTCCCTATTTATCTACTTGCATCTGCATGCTTTCGAACCGCTAGGTTGGCGGGACCTGGGACAAGCGACGGGAGCTCACTCCGTCGCATGGATTCGATCTTACGACTGCTTGGTCTTCTGACCCTGCAGCACAGGCTTCTGCGGTTTAGCCCGCAGCGCCACGTCCCTGAGTATCCTGTTTAAAATTCAGTGAGACTTGCCATATACTGTACATACACTATGTGTGCACATTGCAGTGATTCTCCTGCTTTCAAAAGCAATAAAGTTTATTGTTATATTACTAAAAGTCACTCTGCATTCTGTTTAGCAATCCTCCCAGCCAGAAAAAAATGGGTAGCCTTCCACAACAATGGCACACAATAACAAGAGGAAGAGTATGCTTTGCTAATGGACATATGAACCATACTCAGTTTGCAGTTCTTGGCACTTCCAAAATATCCATGTGTCTCGAGACAGGGAGCCCAAGTAAACACAGACACCTAAAGAGACCAGCGTTTAGGTTTAGTACAAAGGAGGTTCTTGAGCGCTTTTTTGTGTACTTAGCACAGAACCATTTCCAAGGCTGGAAAACTATGGTCAGGTGTTGTTGAACTACGTTCTGGTGAAGCCTAGAAAGGTACAATACAACTTCTGGAATTAATTTGTGTACCATCCATCTAGCTATCAAGACCACTCTGGGTGGTTCACGACAGAATACAGAACAATAATCAGAGGCAATAAATTAAAATAAAGTGACATCAAAGTAATATAAATGAAGAAACATCCCCTAAGCACTATAAATTAGAAACCAGCAACTGGAGAACTGCACGTTCCCCTCCACCCAGGGTGTCAGCCCTGCTACCCTGGGTCTCTTCCTTAAAAGAAACAAAAACGCCAAGCACGGCTTCTCCCCCTCAGTCATGTCAGCTTCTAAGCGCTGTCACCCCTCTTTGTTGGTACAACAGACCACAACACACACACACACTGCAGACCCCACCCTCCTTTTCAAAGACGCCTTGAGCTCCACGCTTCTCCCGGTCTTTTTTTCACACAACCAACAGGGTCCTCAGGAGTCCCAGAGACAGCCCAGGTACACAACGCCGACGTAGCCGGGAAAACCACAACTGACTCCCCCCCTCCCCTTACCTGCTATTCCAGGTGTGATGAGAAGCTACTGGTCCTTCAGCTCTCGCCTAAGTAGCCTCCAGCTACCCGGAAGTGGAAAGGGGAGCTCCTTGGCTTCCGGTTTGAGTGGGAGAATGCGGTTTCCACAGCAACCGCCGGGCGCCTCTTTAAAGCCATGTCCGGTGAGTGGCGGTTGGAGCGCTAGTGCGCGCGGTCCCAAGATGGAGGGGTTGTCCGCCTTGAAAGTCCGGGTCCGGGGAATTATTGGGAAACAAGCGAAAGGTCGGGCCTTCCCTCAGGAACTGGCTACCTCCATGTGTTTTTTTTCCCGATAGATTGTTATGTAGTACTCCTGCTTTGACTGGGGTTTTGCTACTACTTGTGTTTTTCATTTCTCAGATTGGTATTTTTTTTTTAAAAAAGTGTTTACTTATTGATCTTTGCCTTAATGTTACTGTAATATTAACTCATTGTCTGTTTTTAAATATTGTCTTTAAAGATGCTGTATGCACATTGTTTTCAACTTTAAATACTGTATTGTTTTTCGTTGTTGCAAGCCACCTTTGGTGCTTTTCAAGACGAAAGGTGCGGTAAAAATATTTTAAAGAGTTAAGTAAATAGGTTGTGTGCTCTTTTTGGCATTCCGTAGCGGGTTGGATTCAGTGGCCTTATAGGCCTCTTCCAACTTCTGTGATTCTGCAGGAGATATAAAAAGTTTACACATCCTTGTTAAAATGTCAAGTGTCTGTGATGTAAAAAAAATGAGACAAAGATAAATCATTTCAGAACTTTTTCCACCTTTAATGAGACCTATGAACTGTACAACTCAGTTGAACAACAAACTGAAATCTTTTAGGTGGATGGAGGTAAAAATAAAAAACTGAAATAATATGGTTGCATCTGTGTGCACACCCTCTTATAACTGGGCATGTAGCTCTGTTCAGCAGTAAACAATTGTAAACAATCACATTCAGACTCATGTTAAGTAGGAGTTAGTACACCCCTGCCATCATTTAAAGTGCCTCTGAGGAATCCCAAATAAAGATCAGCTGTGCTAATAGGTCTTTCCTGACATTTTCTTAGTCACATCCTACAGCAGAAGCCATGGTCCGCAGAGAGCTTCCAAAGCATCAGAGGGATCTCATTGTTAAAAGGTATTAATCAGGAGAAGGGTACAAAATAATTTCCAAGGCATTAGATATACCATGGAACACAGTGAAGAGTTATCATCAAGTGGATATAAAAAGTTTACACACCTGTTAAAATATCAAGTGTCTGTTATATTAAAAAATGAGACAAAGACATGATTTTAACATTCCTTCTTGAGGAGAATGGTGGGACAGAAAAATTTAAATAAAATCCTTCTTTCTCTATAGCCATTTTGAAAAGCTCACTTGCCTATCAAGGCATTCGTAAGCCCCAGTTAAGTGCAACCCCGCCCTCCACCATTGTGCAGCAGCTAGAAGATGACATAACTGTAAAATAAAACATCCCCTGAAAATAAGCCCTAATGTATTTTTAATATAAGACCCTGTCTTATTTTCGGGGGGAACACGGTATGTGGTATGCTCAGTTGTTGACTGGACTTGCATTTCTCATTTCTATAAGCATTTTTCCATTTTATTGCATAACTTTTGTTCCCAAAATGTTAGTCAGTCTGGAGAAAAATTTCGTTCCAGGAAAACTGATTCTTTGATATGTGGAAGGAAAGTTGTTTAAGAAAATTGATGCTTTCATCTCCAAAAGCACTTCAATTTATTGGGAATAGGGATCTATTAGCCTTTTAAAAAATTAGTATGCTCAAGGTTCATATGTTTTAGTTACGTTAAGTTTGTTTTTTTCTTTCAACAGGTTCAGAAGTTTTTAAAATATCATTTATATTTCCAAATCAAGATAAATATGGTACAGTAAAATATTTTCATATATTATGAGTGCAATGGTTGATATACATAATGGCAGTAATTTGGTGTGGGAGAGGAATAAAATTTTCCCTGTAGCAGAGAAGGGCATCCTGAACACATGAGTTGTCCTTGGTATTTGCTTCAGAGAGATGGGAACTGAATAAACAGTGAGCTCTCTAGAGTCCCTCAAGAGAATAAGGCATGGGATTTTGGTTCTTGCTGTAGCTTTTGGGAGCAGCTAATTTGCAAGATGCCAGATGTATGCCTGGTCATGTGGCAGGCTAGCGGTCTATGATTCTATCGTTCTTTGAAAAACTATATAAACTAGTACAGTGGTGCCTCAACTTACGAATTTAATTGGTTCCGGACCTCTGGTCATAACTAAAAATGATCATAAGTTGAAGCACCATTTCCTATAGGAATGCATCGAAATCCAATTAATCTGTTCCAGCCGAAGAAAAAAATCACAAAAAAACCCACCGCAAGACCCATCGGAAACGCGATTAATCCGTTCCGACCGAAGGGGGGAAGAAAGAAGAGCAAGCAAAGCATGCAAGACTCATCGGAAATGAAAAAAAAGCAAAGCAAAAAAGCAACCAAAGCGTGCAAGACCCATTGGGCTCCTCTGCCGCCGAGACTGCCGTTGGTGGGAGGCCTCCTGGGCTTCCACGGCCGCCCGGCCTGGGCTCCGCCACCACTGCCCGGCCGGGATGGGTCCTCGCCTTCTGGCTGGGCTCTAGCTCCCAGTGTTAGGTCCATCCATGCTGCTCGCTTCCCGGCCAGGCTCTGCCTCCCGGAGCTCAGCCGGAAAGCAAGCAGCACAGATGGACCCAGTGTTGGGAGGCAGGAGCCCGGGAACTTCAAATGGCCTTCTGGCCAGGCTAAAACCTCCTGACGCTGGGCCACCCCCACCACCGCTGTATCCCTTTCCCGAACCGTTGGGGTAAAAGAGCTACAAAGAAGCAGCCTCTTCGCCACCAACGGTTAGTATATTTGAATTTCCTACCCCTTTTCCCTGCCTTTTTCCATTCGTAAGTTAAAGCTCCGTTTTAAAATCAAAGCAAAATTTTGCGAACGGAGCTGTTCATAAGTCAAAATGTTTGTAGGTCAAGGCATTTGTAAGTCGAGGCACCACTGTATAATGATGAAGTGGGCTTCGGTCCACAAAAGCTTATGCCAAGGAAGGTTGTGCATCTGTAGGATATCAGGAGACCCTATACAATGGCATTGAAGAAGAGGGGTTAGAGTAAGCTTCCTTTCTGTGGAACAAATGGTCAGAAATGGTTTTTGTTTCAACTTACACACTGCCCCATAGGGCTAAAACTGGGTGGTTTTCAACATAATTATACAAACAGTATTCTGCTCCTTTCCCCAGCAAACTGGGTACTCATTTTACTGACCCTGGAAGGATGGAAGACTGAGTCAATCTTGAGCTGGCTACCCGAATCTGCCAAAATTGAACTCCGGTCATGAGCAGAGTCTTGACTGCAGTACTGCAGTTTAATCACTTCGCCACAGGTCAAGCCTGGTAATACAAATACACATTATAGAGCATTCACTCCAGATAAAGGAAGCCTTGTTCTAGTTCCTCTTTTTCTCTTTTGCTGTGTAATGCCAGAGAAACTTCAAAATAATCCCCGTCCCTGTCTTTACTCAACTGTAATCCAGCTATATTTGAGGAGAAAATGGGTGTGGCTTATCATTTCCTTTTCAGCCAATTAATACTTGGCTGCCCAAGTGGGTTCTGGAATAGTATCTTTTTTTTGGTACAATATTATTAAGTATAGTGTTTTTGTTTCTGCTACAATTAGTGAGGGCTTCGATGAAAATAATGTAGAAGTATCAAACTCTTAAGAGTGAGTAATTCTGGCCTGGTAGTTGTGAAGTTGCTGCAGAGTCACGGGAAAGCTAACAAAATCTAATTACAATTGTAATTGATTACTGTCAAGTCAATTTCAATTTATGGTGATCCTTTCTAGGGCTATCTAGGTAGAGAGTACTCAGAAGTGGTTTATCATTTCCTTCTTCTGGAGGACTGCACAGCTTGCCCAAGGCCACACAGGCTGGCTCTTCTCCTGGGATGTACAGGGGAACTGAACTCCCAAATGTATAAACAGAATATTGCACTCTTAGAACCAATGTTGAATGCTTGCTGAGAACTAATCATATACAATACTACTAAATTCTAAAGGGTTACAGTGATGGTTTTGATTACTTTGATTGATTAAATATTACTAAACTTTACTAGACATTGTTTATTAAATATTATTTAATTAAAACAGAATAATTAGTCATCACTATTATGAGCCATTAATTGAATTCTGACTGATGCCATACCTTTTCAGGGCTTTCCAGATAGAGAATACTCAGAGGGGGTCTGCTGTTCCCTTTTTCTGGGAACACCTTGGGACTGTGCAGCTTGCCCAAGGCCACACAGGATGGCTCTGCTCACAGAAGGCATAGGGCAAGAAGTGAACTCCCAACCTCTGGCTCCACAACCAAATACCTAAACAACTGAGTTATCCAGTCAGCTAATATAATAATTTGTGTTATTTCTTTAATTGACTTTTCATGGTTTATTTTTTCTTTTCTTTCATTAGATGGTGAATGTACAAGAACACCTGATGGTATTCTTGAGAGAAATGGATATGGAGTTCATACCACTCCAGATGGAATTATTTATCAAGGAAACTGGAAGAATGATAAAGTATATACGTAACATACAAATATCTAAAAAGTGATTCAAGTGATTTATTTAGTCTAATCTAATTAATTAAAATCAAGAAAATTGTGTCAAATATTAATATGTAGAAAACCTCAGTGAAGCAATAAAGACTGGATTGTATCTTATGGTAGCTTTGCCCCATTGCAAAGCATTGGAAGTGGTGGCTATTTGAATGCTTTCAGCCTACAACTCTCATCTGTCCTTGCTAGCATAGCCAGTGGTGAATGATTATGTTAGTTCCTGTTCAACTATATGAAGAGAGCTACATTTGCTCTTCCCCTTAGTAGAAAATGTACTATTCACTGACACAAGCTGGAGCACTTCATTTGTGCCCATGACTTCTACCTATTACAACTGCCTGTGCCTTATTCTATTCTGAACATTCAATGAAGATTGGTTGCTTCATATAGAACTGGCCAATGAAATAGGATGGGTTTTTTGCTGGAATACTAGTAGCAAGACAGAATCCTGAAAAAAATCTTTTATTACATCTGATAAATAAATTATTGATTTATATTCTTGTCATTAATTGCATTACAAATTATATCATAATTTTCATGAGGTTCTGCCATGTCATCTCCAATCTCAGCTTATCCATGTCAATGTGCTTATCTCTCTGGATAGAAGACAACATCTCCAATCTCAGCTTATTCATGTCAGTAAGCTTGGATGTGCTTATCTCTCTGGATAGAAGACAACTCGTTTTCCAGACCAAACTGATTTGTTATCACTTGAAAAGTAACTCTCTGATGTTCGCAGGAGTTTTCAGTTGGTCTGGTCTTGCCATTAGAATGTATGGGGCAGTTGCCTCTCCATTCATTCATTTAATGTAATTCATAAGCCACCATTCTCCCATTACAGGACCTAAGGCAGGTCACAAACAAATAATAGCAAGACATCAGGAATGGAAAATCATCCTTGCACATTTCAGAAACCTACCACAACCATTTCACTTCGCTCCCTGTCCTGATCATGCTATTACTACTGCGACCTACTTTCTCTTCTACACTGCTGTAATTGCTTGCTTGCTTGCCTACCTAACTACTTGATAAAAATTCTTGTAAAGAAATGCTGGCTGCACAACTTTCTGGCCCATCTTTATGTAAAGCCATCACTTGGTATAAAGATGTGCTGGTTATGGCCAGTATGTCTTTACAGGGAATCCCTCTTAGGCTGGGAGTCTACAGGTTGAAGCCAAGTGGTGGTGACGGCACATGCGAATGGGGGAAAGGCAGCAGCAAGAAAAATGGGGGAGGTGTTGGTGGCAATAATATTTCTTCTGCTTCAAGCAGTGGAAATACAGATGACAGCTGCCTCGTTGAATGTACATAGGATTATAGCCTTAAATGTACTAAATTTCAAAGACCTCAAAAGCTGCCATTACTGTTTTAGAGTATTAATCTGGTGACTTCACTTCTTATTAACTCAGATGAATGGTTTAGGAAGGCTGGAACATCCTTCTGGTGCTGTTTATGAAGGTGAATTTAAGGACAACATGTTGCATGGAATAGGAACCTACATGTTTCCTAATGGAGCCAAGTACACTGGACAGTTCAGTGAAAATAAGTGAGTTGAATTTAAAATAATTGAAATTTGGCTTTGATGCAGAGAATCTTATTTTGTATTTTAGCTTTGTATTAGGAACTTAATTAGGATCTTTCTTGGGTACTTTCTGACATTTTCATAGGATCAACGTGCTTTGCTTTGAATGTGATTTGACACCTGTCCCAGACACCTCTGATCCACGTATTCTATGCTGTTGGCTCTGAGATGAGTGGTGCTGTGAAACTGCTCTTGGTGTACAGTGGTGCCTCGCTAGACAGTTACCCCGCATGACAGTTTTTTCGCTAGACATTGGCCTTTTGCAATCGTTATAGCGATTGGCAAAACAGTGATTCCTATGGGGGAATTTTGCTGGACAGTGTTTGGTCCCTGCTTCGCAAACCGATTTTCGCTAGACAATGATTTTGACAGCTCCCTCCACGCTCGCAAACAGGTGTTTTCGGGACCTAAGCTTCACAAGACAGCAATTTAAACAGCTGATCAGTTGTTCGCAAAGCAGCTTTCCTATGGCCGATCTTCGCTAGACAATGACGATTCTTCCCCATTGGAACACATTAAACAGGTTTCAGTGCATTCCAATGAGGAAATGCTTTTTGCGAGACAATGGTTTTGCTAAACAACGATTTCAGTGGAATGGATTATCATTGTCTAGCAAGGCACCACTGTATTCCAAATGTCAAAGGAGCTACCCAAGAGACTGCATCTGTTTTGGGGGATATGGTTCAGCACATTGGATAGCTGTTATAAATTCCAGACTAAGGACATGACCACAGAGAAGTCTGTCTCAGATTGACACTAATTTCTCTATAATGTACCCCACCATTTAAACTGCTGCTATTGTCCATACAGAGATGTTTAATTATCCCAGGAAGGGGTATTTCAAGTGTCACACAACTCTCTTTCCCCTCACACCCTTATCTGCCATTATCACCATTCTCAGCCACTCTTTTCAGTGTCATTCAAATTTCTTCAAATTTGATTTTAAAAATGTTTACACAAGACAAAATAATGCAAGTGGAAATACTACAGAAAAACATATGCCAGCCAAACAATATGCCACATATTCATGCTAAAGGATCAGATTTACTTGTGATTAGCCCTAATGTCACATAGTCAGTAGAATAAATATCAAAAGGAACAGTGAGGAACACAGTACAAACAGAGAAAGGTATATGTGTTTAGTCACTCCCTAAGATTATGAAAGCAATTGGCCCAGTTCATTAGCAGAACTAGCAGTTTCAGAAGGTTTATCAGGTACTATCTGAATCACTGCCTGATTCAGCATTTTCTGGTATTCAGACCTGGGAAGCTGATATGCATTATAAGAGCAGTATGTATCTTTCTTTTTTTTATACATATTTGTCTGTGTGTAGATATATTATTAGCTATAATACAGCAACTAGGCATGAGATTTTGGAATTTTTTTTGGATAATAAATCCCATAATTCTCCATTCTAGGAGTTTTCTTTGGCAGACTCACTCCTACAGAAAACTAAATGTGGCTCACCTTGAAAAAAAGCCTATTTGAGAAGGCTTTGAGGCTTAGACCTTGCTCTGCCCTAGGTTTCGGTGCTGAAAGGAAGCTGCCCCACTGCTAGCTGGACGTTCCCCCTTCTGAACAGGAAGCTAGACCAAAGCTAGGCCTATGTTAAGCTTCAGAGCCTTCCCATCTAGGCCTTTTGTCCCTGTGAGCTACATTTTGTAGATGTGAGTCTGTCAGCTGGAACTCCCATAATGTAGAATTATGGGACTTGTAGTCCAACAAAACCAAGATTCTAATGTCAGACAATGGCTACTGCCTTCATTTTAACATGTTCACTTTTTTCTTTTCCTAGGCTGGAAGGGAAAGGAGAATTTACGGATATACAGGGTTTGGAATGGGATGGCACATTTCATTACACAGCAGCACCAGGGCTGAAGCTAAAGCTAGACATGTAAACTATTTTGGACTAGTAGAAAACAAATCAAGATTGTAAACTCTAATACAGAGCCATTAGGGGAGAAAGAGATGGTAGCCAAGGTACAATGTAACTGAATAAATAAATGCTGAATAAATCACATGGTTATGCTCTGGAGTCTATGCATATTTGTTTATGTGACATATAGGAACTGTACATGTGTAATCTGAAGCCTCAGGCTCTTTATCATCTTTGTATGAAATATATGGGGACTAACAGTTGAGAATGCATAAGAGAGAGGGTCACAGAATATGTGTACAGCTCACAAGTGATCCAACCCGGATGGAATTCAGCTTTGGGTTTCAGTGGACAGTTTACTGGGGCTGGAGGGGAAGTGAAGCATTCTGCTGGATATAAAAAATATTTTTGGGCAAACTTAACAACACAGTAGTTCACTGGCACAATGTAGGGGAAGCTTTTGGCTCTGAAAATATAGAATTGATGCCAAAGTAAAGCAGACAATTATGCTGCGAAAGAATAATGAAAAATGATATTAAAAGCCATTTGGATCTAGAGATGGGCATGAAAATTTGACCTGAGGTGATGAAATTCATCAGTGTGGCACCAGAGGTGCCATGCGTTCACTCTCCCTACCCCCTGGCTGGCTGCCCCACCCACAAGCCTCTGAGTGCCACCTGGACTGTTCTCCTTTGCTGGCTGTGCAGTCCAGGAAGATGCTGAGGTTTCCCTTCCCTGCCTCCTCCGGCAGCCAACCACTCAACGGCTGCACAGGGAGAATCCCCATCTCTCCTTCTCATCTGAGTGGTTGGCTGCCAGAAGAGGCAGGGAAAGGAAGCCTGAACTCCTTCCTGGACTGGGTAGCCAGTGAAGGAGGACAACCCACATCATATATAGGCCAAGGAACCAGCATGTCTGGAGATGCTCTGCAACACAGCTTTAGTTATTTAAATCTTATGGAAGAAAAATATACTGAATGTGTGACTTCATTACTGTACGGGTTATTTAAATCTTATGGAAGAAAAATGTATACTGAATGTGTGACTTCATTACTGTACCAGGCCTTGTCGAGATTCTTTAAATGACCTATAGAACCTTTACTACATGGTTCAGAATATAGAGCCATTTTCATGGTACTAGAATAGTAAAGCTGGAAGGGGGCCATAAAGCTGTCATGTCCAACCCTCTGCTTGATGCAGGAATACTAAAACTGCAAGCTTTTTTCCCATCTATTTAAAAGGCAGCAAGAAAAGGGCCATAAAGCCGTCATGTCCAACCCTATGTTTGATGCAGGAATATTAAAACTGCAAGCTTTTCTCCCATCTATTTAAAAGGCAGCAAGAAAAGAGGAAGGCCTAATATGAGATGGATTAACTCAGTATAGGAACCTCAGTCTTTAATTTACAAGAGCTGAGCTGTGCTGTCAATGGTAGCACATTTTGAATGTCACTCATTAATAGGGTTGGCATAAGTTGGAGGTACATAACAATAAATACAACAACAGGGTGAGACTGCACTTTTCTTTGACTTATAATCACTAGCTGATCAATGGAGATAGATGATCAGTGACGAAAACACACTGATCTAAATGCATACTTAGGCCAGGATATAATTGACAGGAAGTGTAATCTGACAGCTGTAGTCTTTTCACTTGACATTTTAGTTTTAGAGTGGCTACAGAAGGATTATGCTGGCACTTTGGTTTAGAAGTTAAGCCCTCTGATTACATTATTCTGATGAACAAGAGTGATTTGTAATGCAGAATTCTCTTCTTTTCCTGTTTCAATAACACATTATAAATACTGCACTCTTGCACATGCATACCACAGTATCTAGAGTGTATATGTATGGATTTTCTCTTCAACCCACTGTGATCTGGGCTCGGTACTTTTTTCCGCCAACCCTGATCTTGGCTATAGAAACTATGTTTAACTGAGTTGGAGTACACCCTTTCCCCTTTCCACAGAAGAGTGGTCCAGCATGAATTCTGTTGGTTGGAGCTGGCTCTTCTCCCATCCAATTAAAAGAAATCCACAGAGAACATTGCTTGAAGCTACCGCTGAACTGATAGTCCTTAATCTCTACTAAAAGAAAATGCATACCAGAATTTACAGTTTTAACAAACAACACCATTGTTTTAATAATTTGACTTCTTGTTAAATTCATAGCTGGGTTACCCAGCAGGGAGAGACACAAGGTTGTGACCTGAGGATTGCATAATTAGAAAGCTTTAGATTAGATATGCTTGAATTTGAAATTAACTATTAGCATGTGATAGACCTACTTCAGAAAATATGAGGCTCCTGTAGTTGCCTTCTTGCTTTCCTTTTAGACAGTCATTTGTTTTGGACTCAGCAAGGTACTGAAACTGCAAGAGAGAGAGAGAGCACAGCTGGGGGTAAGTTTAAAATGTATTGTTTTTCCATTTCATAGAGCTTATTAAGTGCTTTTAATAATAACACGGTTAAGGTCTACTTCTTCTGTGTTGTGATTAGCATGATATTCACAAGTAGCAAAGTAATTTTCTAAGAGTTGGATTATCTAGTTTAAGACATCAGGCAATTGTGCAGCACAGTTCTCTGCATGTTTACTCAAACTTAAAACAGACGTACTTCTGTTACGTGAGTATAGAACAGAAGCCTAAAATTCAATTCTGTGCGCACTTACCTGGAAGTATGTCACAGTGAAATCCAAGGGGCTTATTTCTGAGTAGTGAGAACGAGAAAAAAAATATGAGAGGTAGGATTGTGATGAACTTATATTGTTTGTTTTTGCTTGAAATATTTATTACCTGTTTTAAAGAATAATAGCATACATAATGGAGAGGAGAAATACTGCTTGACTATTGAAAGGTATATAAAATAAAAATGTGGTAACTTGTTTTCATAGCACCAGAGCATATTGGAAATTTTCTGACTTAAAGGGTGCCGTAATTAAAGTTTTATTTGTTTTATTTCTTTAAACCAAAAAAGTCTCTTTTAGACTTAACCAAAAAAACAAAACAAAAAAAAAACGTATATTCCTACATAAAGTCTCTTAGGGAGGTCTGGGGGGAAAGTGGATTACTATTTTATGGTTTTAACATTTAGAAATGTACCTGTACAATTTGAACATATAGCAAATTATAACTTCAAAAACAGATTTAAGCTGCAGTCCAATTCCCACTTACCCAAGGAAAGCCCCATTTGATTCAGCAGGGCTTATTTTCTGAATAGACATGTATAACAATGGTCTTTAACTGCCTTTTAATAATAATCACTACATACTAAAGGCATAACACAGTTAAACCCAAGCATTTTAAAATCCCCTTGATTTACACAGGCAAAAATGAGTATGTGTTTAATATTGCAACTGAAATTGATAGTTTCAAGCCTCCACTAAATCTTTTTTACTACCTAATCATTTGTTCGGGGTAGTATAATGTTAATGCTGATATAGCATATCATCTTCCTGTGAATTTTTCCTTATCAGCTTCCTCTAATATTGATGTCCAAAATCAATTATACTATTTCAAACTATAAATTTAATTGTCCTGTTGTTTCTTGTTTCCAAAACCCAAACTTGTAGTTTCAAATTTTGGATATAATGCCTCTGCAAAGAAAATTTAAAATTGCACTGCTTCCGGCACTATCGTTCTAAAGGATCACCTCTTCCCCTAATGGATTCTGATAAGAATAGGCAACTGTGATCTCTGGGTGCTGTTCTACAGCTGCTGTCATCAGTTCTAGCAAATGTACCAAGGATAATCGGATATTAGTTGTAATTTTAACATTTTAATTTTTTTAATTTCACATGTATTTCATATACATCCATAATTTTAAATTGTGCAGTGCTCTCATACAAACAAAGAAAGAAACTTGCAATCCACAGCCATTTGGAGGGCTACTGCTGTGTGACCCATGCTAGATCTTCAAGGAGGCTGCTTGCTTTTTTTCATCTAAGGATGGCGGAGATGGACCGCCTTTTCTGCGGTGGCCCCCTAGTTCCTGAGTGTCTTTTCTAGGGAGGCTCACTTAGACACATATATTAATGCAGTCAACACCGTTTCTATTTTAATATTAAATATTATTTTAACCTTATTATAATTTTAACATTTACAATATGGTCCTGCTGAGGTGGAATGCACAAGGCAGGACGGTGTGAGTGTGGAGCTGCACTGATCCCTCATTTAGCAATCTTCACTGAGGGCAGAAGTACCCTAGGCCTTTTTGTCTTTTGCTTGCTTTAGGTTTCCCCTTTACTCAAAGCCTGATGACAGAAACAGCTGAGCCCTTCAACAATTTGGCTGGGAAGGTCCAAATGCCATTCCTCTGGTTTAGAAGGTTTTTTGTGGAATCCTTTTAGCAGAGTAGGGCAATTGTTCATAGATACAGACATGAAACCATGTTTATTTTATGAAACGCAAGTTATTGAATTAATTTTTTCCCCAGGGCATAGCGTGTCTGTAAAAAGTGGATCAATAACTCCATTATACTTTTGCCTCCATTGAAAATTAGGAATTGAATCATCTGATTCATCACTGAACTCACATGTTCAGTTCTTCAAAACCATGGGACGGCTTGTGGGGTTTTCTGAGAACAGTAAATGCTCTTTGAAGAAAGGACAGATGTTTTGACTGGATTTGGAGAAGGAAAAACACTGAAAAATGTAAGAAGAATGGATTCAAATAGAAAAGAAGGTAAATATACATTATAAAATAAATGTTAAAATCTGGACACAAAGTTCTCTTTCATACAATATGACCTAGATTTAAAAGCAGTAGTACCCAAGATTAGACACTGGAGGGCAAGCAGAACAAAAGCATAATTGTGTGGCTTATAGAAACATGGCACGCTGACATGGGGAGATGATCTGCCTCCAACAGAGAAATGATGCATCTATAAGAACCATATATTAGCGCTCAGTCAATTTCAACTGAAAATTTCATAAACAGACACATGTTTGTTATGTCAGGCATGGCTGGCTATCATTCTGATCTCCAGCGCTTGTGGGCTCATTTTGAAGATGAGACTGTGACTGTCATTCATGCTGAGAGCCCTTTCTCTTAGGCAACTTTCAGTGGAATTTTCAGTAAGAATTGTAAATGTCTTGAAAGAACCACGATAAATCATTTGTCTGGCACGGCACATGTTGTCTAGCTTTGTACATTTGATTGAACAATAGTTACATATGATGCAAATAGCATGATGCTTGAATTTTCCTTCCAATGTGGTATGCAAAAATATCTAAAGTGGATGCAGGGAACAAGGATTTTTCCCCTAATCTCATATTCCACTTTTAGTAGTATTTCTCTATTAAGCAGCTCACGATTAGCCCATGTAGCAATGTCGGGGTCCCACGTGAAGTATTTTTCCCCTAAGAACCTGTTTAAACATTCAAATTGCCATGGCAGAGCAGAAATATTCTCCCATGGATTGAGGTGATTATGACATAAGTAAGTAGAGATCAACTCCACTGCTCTCTCCTGCAGTGCATAGATAAGACTGGCTGCATTTGAAGCTTATTCGTTTTGCATTGATTCATTAAAATGACTGACTCATATGTCTGAGTTATATTAGGCCTGTTTCCCACATAGGTCTCAACTCTTAATGGTAGTGGTGCACTTTCTTTTATCAGGTAGTGGCCTCCTACTCAATTTTTATTAATTTAACCTCAAATCTTAGATGTTGGAGCTTCCACCAAAATTTAGAGGTGGAAACGGTACCTGTTGGAGTTCTGACTGTTCAGGTCAATCACCTTCCATGTTCAGCAGGCAGCCAGGCCTCAAAGAAAGACAGGCATTTATGAGGTCACAGCACAGTTGAGATAGTGGGTGCTTGGTTTTATATCGTGGCCAAAAAGGACTTTCAGCCTTCATTACAGCCGTGTATGAGATTTTCAGCAAAAATGGAATACTAGGTAAATTATAATTGCTGTCTGGAGAGAACTAAGCAAGATTTTTTAGAAGAATTCTCTATAGTATTTGTTGCCTTCCATTTTTTTTTGTCAAAAGGAATGCTAACGGAGGCGTACAGCTGACAGCATAGCAAGCCATAGTGTTGTTTGCAGAGAAAGATAGAGATATACCCTGTTTCCCAAAAAATAGGACCTAACCTGAAAATAAGCCCTAGTATGATTTTTTGGGAAGCTCGTAATATAAGCCCTACCCCAAAAATAAGTGAAACCCCGCCCTCCACCATTGTGCAGCAACCAGAAGAAGATGACATGACTGTATTTGAAGAAATATAGATTCTTGTACATGAAAAAAATAAAACATCACCTGAAAATAAGCCTTAATGCGCTTTTGGAGCAAAAATGAATATAAGACTTTATCTTATTTTCGGGGAAACACGGTAGATATAGATATATAGATATAGATATAGATAGATCTGAATGAAACTGCTTCATAGGCACTGGCTGATGTGGAGAGGGTTTTTTGGTGGTTAAATGCAATAATCTACATACTCAAGTAGCACCAATTGATTAATTTGAAGATACCTTCAATGAATTAATGTCCTCAAAGGAATGAAAACACTCATTTGATGTCACAGCAGGAGATAAATAGAACAAGAACCCATTTCATTTTTATGTGTTCTCTGGAGAATGTGTATACATATAAATTATCAGTAGCAAACGATGCTGTTTAATGGATACTAGCTTTCTCATGCCTATAGTATATAGTGAAGCAGCCACTTAGAGTCGAACTAGATATGGCATTGTGTGCTTATGAGGAAAGTGTACAAATGTGAATGTCCAGGCTGAGAAAACCTAAGGCAAAGGAAGGATTCCACTCCTTCCCTCATCATAATAATTCTGATCCAGACTGAAACTCTTGCAACTCCTGTTCGCTATGTGAGGAGAGCTATTGGTGGCGGTGCCACTGCCAGTTCTCTGCTAGAGAGGAGAGAAAATGATCAGTGTTTCTCAGCTATTTTTAACTCATGCCTCCATCTGATAAACATAAACATTTAATGGCTGCTTCAAGTCCATCAGCTACAATAATTTTTATTGGAAAAAGTACTAAAATTAGTGTTCAGCTCTTCACATAGTCAGTTGGAAGTGTCATCAGGGCTTCCATATGCCTTAAGGCCTACTAGTGATATACCAGTCCAAATTCCATCCGGACAGACAATTATGTACAGACCTCAAATGGACCTTTTGCTAGAAGATCCTCCTGACATTTTGGAAAAGGTCAATTTTTGGACTACACCTCCCGGTGGCCATGATGGCTGGGGCATTTTGAGAGTTATACTCCCAAAAAGGGACTTTCCCAAGCTATGATTCTCTTAAGGAATCTCATCTGAGCACTTAGACAAACTGCCCCATGTTAAAAAAAACACCCTGTCCTTCCCCAACCCCATGTCCTTCAAATGTGCTGAACTGTAAATTCCACAATCCACAGACAGTCCACCAAATCCAGAAAGCACCAAGATGGTGAAGACTTCTTTAAAGTATATCTGGTTCTTATACTGGTTTTGGATGTATAACAAAAATAAAAACAACTTAATTATGGTATCTTAACAGCTGATAGACTTATTCCAGTGTGAATTTTTTAATTACAATACACTTCCTCCTCAGATCAAGAACACTGCTTTTAAAAGTGGTCTTACGTAGCTGGGGTCCCCAGCCCCCGGTCCACGGCATAGTACTGTACCAGGCCTTGGCCTTGGTAGGACTTAGCTGCTGAGACAGAGATCCCCCCAGCATGCATGGCTACCTGCACGTACGCATGCACACGCGCACACACGCACACACTCACACACAAATCACATACACCCCACCCATTCATGCACAGATGCACGCACAACCCCCACATGCACACTTGCACGGCCCGCCCACAGATGCACGCACGGCCCCCCACATGCATACACGGGTGCATGTATGCCCTGCCCACGCATGGACAGACGCTCCCCCAACCCCCTGCATGCATGCTCAACTATTCTGTGGTGCCAAAAGGTTGGGGACCACTGTATATAGGATGACTCTTGTAATATTGTTATTGAAGCAAAAATTGCATGCTATATGACAATTTTGTAAATGAATGCAGGAACCATTCCACCTCCATAGCAGAAAGGAATTAGGTGGTGACCTGGCAGGAATATACACAAATAATCTGTGCAGCTACTAAGGCTGAAATTGAATTTTAAATGTAACATAAGTTATATTGATTGCTCATACGGCTAAGTCAGTGTTTCATCCAGTATGTATAGTGAACACAAACAAGGGCAGAAAGATTATCTCTTATTTTCTGACTTGCACATTTCATCTTGGTTAAAAGAGGGCATCATTCACTGTGTAAGTGAACAGTTAAGTGCTCCATTTCATTACTATGCCCAGGCCCTCTGGAGGTTTAAGATAATGAATATCAGACGGTATTGCCTCAGGGTCTCATCTTCCAGACTAAAAAGCAATTATATTTCGTGCACACTTTGGACAAATGTACTATCAATTCCCCTCTCCAACATCAATAATATCCGGTACTTTAAAATATATTATTATTATATATTAAAATGTATTATTTTAAAAGCATTTACAATCCACTTTTAGAGCAACTTTTTCCCAAAACAATATTCAAAAGAGACAAGATAGAAGTTACAAGGGTTGTGATACAGGTGATGTATCAAATTACATAAAAGCAGATTTAAAAAGGTTTCTGAGGCTAGTTGAAAAGCCAGAATTGAAAGGGACAAAACATATTCCAAAATTGGGAGTCTCCATTCCCTGCTGTGTCTCCACCCTGTGTGGCATTGAGCAACCTGCACAGTCTGAGGATGCCCCCAGAAAGAGGACATGATGGACCACTTCTATGTATTCTTTACCTAGAAAACTCTGGAAGGGGGTTGCCACAGGTCAGAATCAACTTGGCAGTATGCCATTATTTATTATATGTTGCTGAATTGCAACATCTTTGTAGTACTGTGAAGTACTGTGGCCTACAAGCAATTGCTAGTCCCACCTAAAACGGAACAATTCAGTCTGCGAAAGTTACATAAGTTTCAGCTGAAAATTCAGGGGTTGATTCAATTAGACTTTTTTAACTGGAATGAGTGGCTGGGTTTAGGCCTATGACTTCACAGTGAGTATATTATGCCCTCTTTAAAAAATGAAATAGAAATATAACAAAGAAATAGAACAAAGCAAAAAAACCATTTTCAAAATTTCTGTAAATTTCAGAAGTTTGGAGAGCCAAACACAGACTAGTATTTCAAATACAAGAAAACCAAGGCCAACAACACTATGGTGATGGTTGGGAGACCAGTCAGTTTAGGACACACTTCAAAGGTGGCAAACTTTGGATAGTAAAGTCCATTAATAGTACAATATTATTGTACTGTTGTTTACTTGGAAATAAATCTTACTGTATTCCATGGGACTTACCTTTGATAAATTCAGCCTAAAGATATAATTACAGGACTGTTCCAGCACCAGGGTAGTACCATTGGGACAGCTGTGCCAAAGGGGTGTCACATGTGCAGTGTATATATGAGACACCATTGTGGAGTTAGCATCCTCATCTGCTTTACTAAGAGGATTCAGATCTCATATGAACTCTGTAGGGGCTGTAGTATGATTGGATTCACTCCAGGCAGTCAGATGTCCAGAAGCATTTCTAGCTGAACTGGATCCTTGATTATCCCAGTATGCATTCTCTCACACATTGTATCATTAATGTAAAAAAAAAAAAAGCAAAGTGGGCTGCTTATATAATGCACTTAAAGGACTCTCTGGCTGGTTCTACTGTTTAATTATGTAGGCTACACACTGCACCCCTAGTGAGCTGGGTACTCAATTTACCAACCTTGGAAGACTGGAGGTCTGAGTGACCCTTGAGCCAGCTACCTGAGACTGAACTGGGATCATGAGCAATGTTTTTGCCTGCAGTATTGCAGTTTAACCACTGCACCACAAAGCTCTTTACATATGAATGGAAAAAATGATGGTAATTGATTAGGTATTTGTTCTTATGTAACAAAAATATGAAATGAGTGTAAGCATCCACTCTCCTGTTGCCATACTAAAGTACCAGCCTTATCTGCTCCTCCCTTGAAATACTGATACAGTAGACAGCTTCAGGTGCTATAATTTAGGACCTGATTGGGCATCCTTCAGTCTTGAGAGACTATGGTAACGTGCTCTGAATAAAGGTCTTAGAACAGCATCTAGTGTGGCTGAGAAGGCTAATTCAAGAGTGACAATCCCTTCCATACTGAAGACAAATACAATCTGTCCCCTGTCCAGCTCCCTGATTTTGCTAGTTTTGGGACTGCCTCTTTGCCTCAGCCTGCTGGGCAAGGGGCTCTTCAAACTGGGGGAGGCCATGACGCACCGCCTGCCTCCAGGCTGAAAGCTCAGACGTCAAGGTTTCCCATCTGTTGAGGTCCATTCCTAAGGCCTTCAGATCCCGCTTGCAGATATCCTTGTATCGCAGCTGTGGTCCCCTCTGGGGCGATTTCCCTGCACTAATTCTCCACACAGGAGATCTTTTGGAATCTGACCATCAGCCATTCTCACGACATGCCCGAGCCAATGTAGACGTCGCTGTTACCGAGATGTATACATGCTAAAAATCCCAGCTCATTCTAGGACTAAAAATTCCAGCTCAATCCACCTCATTTTAGGACACTAGCAGAAAGCATAAATTGATGTCTGAATGGTGCAATGAAACTTTTTGAAGTGTTTGTTTTAGTATGTTTTTTTGGGGGGGATATCATTTGGTGCTCTGCTCCAGACAGCAAAATCTCTTGGATGAACACGTGTAATCCTAGTTTTTGTGTAGTTACTAAATTAAAGCATTATAAATCAGTTTCAGAATAGTTACTGTATTTCATTCTGTTTCACAGTGTATTCCACCAGTAATCAAACTAGCCCAGCTGTAGCCTTCCATACCAGCACTGGCCACTGCTTTGTAATTCTGGAGTGGGAAACAATATTTGGATGAGGGGCAAGATTACCCTCTACTAACCCTTGCACATGTTACATTATATTGAAAGTATGGTTGGAAATTCCCATTCCTTGCTATACCTGGAATATAGGTAGACATCATTACAGATGATTCCTGTGCTTGTGGCACATGGGTACAAAAAGGAGGAAGGGAAAAAGTCAACTTCAGAACAGAACTATATGTTCCAGAAAAGAGACAGATTTGCATCTAAAGTGGACTGCAAATCATTATGCTCCCATTTTATATATAGTAAACCTAATAAGTCCCGTTAATTGACTACAGTTCTTTATTCCCACAGGAGAAACTGAAAGTGTGCCAGTGATTAATCCTTCAACACAGATTGCCCAGGTAACGATGAGCAAAATGCTGAGAATAATCCCAAATCTTAAAAGAATTAGGGAGGTTTTTGATATGTATTAGTAGAAATCAGACCCATCCGAAAATCAAAATGAAATCTGTGAAAGAAACTTGGTATAATGTGAATGCTGTTGATAATGAAAAAAGAAAACATATCTGACACTTAAGAGGCATGTCAGGAGGGTATATTGTCAACATGATAGTCTTTCATTTTGTGTTAAATGATCTGAAGTCAATGCTACAATCTTTTATTTTAGTGTTTAGTGTAACTAGAAGTCTTAAAGTTGAGAGCATGTTTATTTTTGACACCTAGTTGCCATTAACCATCAATATCTTAGCTAGACGTTGTGGGGATTCAAATATAAATGTTTTCTATCACACATCCAAGGAGGCACCTGTGTGTACACTGCTGTGCATGTAGTTACTGCCCAGAAATGGGTACAGTATATGGGTGTAACTGAGGCAAAATTAGGAACACGTAAACCTCACATTGGCCCGTTTATTTTTGTTTAACTGTGCAAATAGCATAGCTTTTGGATACAAATTGCTTCAGGTTAACAAATCACTGTAGATATTATCAGATGCATACTAAACCATACAGCTCAGTATGCAACAGATAATGTTTATGTTGATGTTTAAACTTGAGGCAATTTGCCTCCAAATGTTATGCTCTTTGTATTGCTCCGTGAAACTCAGCTAAAGGCTGTAGGTTCTCTTATGGAGTCAGTCCATTTCATATTTGTCCTTCCTCTTTTCCTGCCAGCTTCAGCTTTTCCTAGCACCAACATGCATACTGTGATCATTAGGCGAGGACGAAAGGCAAAATTTGTGCCCTTATGCTTGGGCTGATGAAAGTATTACCCCACCCCCCAAATGAAATGTGAAATAAATTTGCATGGCAAACCGCATTTTACAAATGAGTTGTTTTTCTGACATTATCTACATGCATTCCATTTTATAATGAGCACGTCTGAATTTGTGCCCTTATGCTCGGGCTGATGAAAGTATTACCCCCCCAAATGAAATGTGAAATAAATTTGCATGGCAAACCGCATTTTACAAATGAGTTGTTTTTCTGACATTATCTACATGCATTCCATTTTATAATGAGCACGTCTGAATGATTAGTATCTAGTGTTACAGTTTTAAAATGGACACCATGAAAAGAGAGGAAGGGAAGGAAAATGGGGGCAAGTGTAATTAGGAGAAGAAAGTATGATTATCTGAATTACATATAGCGGTACTTTTGGCTTTGCCACAATAATTGGGTCTAGTGTTGTTGAATTAAGGATCCCCCAAAAGGTCCTCTTATTAAAAGCTCTGCTCAGGTTCTGGCAAATTAAAGACTTTGGTGTCCTTTACTGAGTCAATCCACCTCATGTTAAGCCTTGTTCTTTCCCTGCTGCCTTCAGTGAGCAGAAAACAGTGGGGAAAGGATTGAGTACAGTACTTTCCTTTCAATTCGTTGCTCAGAATCACAGCATCTTGAAGCTGCTGTTCCTTTTAAAAATATTGTGGCTTTCTTACATATTATTTGCCGATTAAACTGCCTACTAAAGAAAGTATATATGCTCAGGTGAATATAGTAGGCAAAAAAGAATGTACTTGGCTTCCTGCTTCTGATATAATTAATCCTTATATCAAGAAGCAACTTTACTCCACTTTTGTAGCTTAAATTTTTCACTGTTCCTAGGATCTATATGGCTTGCATCAATTCCTTGGTTTTCCTGAGTAGAGTATTCCATAAAATAATATTTGTGCTGTTTCTGGCAGTTTACATGTGTCTGCCTCCTGCATGACATTGAAATCTGCATTATAGAGAAAGGTGTGTGGAATTTATGTCTACTAACTTGAGGAGAATCATGTTTTAAAGCAGGGCACTGTATTAGTGAGTCCTGGCAGGTATGAAATATCTGTGGTTCTCTGAGATTATGATAAACGATGAAGAATAATGAGAATGTGGAAAATATGCAGTATCTTACTGCAATCTGGACAAAATTAAGTACAATTTAGGGGAAACAAGCAATCCCAATGGAACCATGACATCAATGTTAAAAAAATACTGTGGGGAGCATGGGCATTTAAACTGTTGCATTGTGCACATACATGGTGATTCATGTACACATACTGATGTAGCTGACATGCAGGATTAAGATTGTTACAAGGGTAAAAATGTTAAAAACCCTTCATAATAGATGCAGCTGACATGTCAGGCAGGATTAAGATTGTTACAAGGGTAAAAATGTTAAAAACCCTTCATAATATACACAAATGTCACCCTCTAGTTCTCCTCCCATTGTAGTCAAAAGCACTTCCCCTCCAGTACTCTAGAGAATAGTACCTATTGCACAAAGTGAGATCCTGACATTGTACCAAGGGTAAAGATGGTCAGTCCTTTCCCTGAAATGAAGTAATATAAACAGAGTTATTTGCCTTATTATGGTCCTGCTTCACTGTGATCCCACTAGCCACTATTACTTAACCATTTTTAAACTAAAGTGATTCTGAGATGGCCATGTGCTCTATTTTACAGAAGAGTACCTATTGCGCAAAGTGAGATCCTGACATTGTACCAAGGGTAAAGATGGTCAGTCCTTTCCCTGAAATGAAGTAATATAAACAGAGTTATTTGCCTTATTATGGTCCTGCTTCACTGTGATCCCACTAGCCACTATTACTTAACCATTTTTAAACTAAAGTGATTCTGAGATGGCCATGTGCTCTATTTTACAGAAGACAATCCTCTGTCTGAAGATGTCCTTTATGAGAATGTCCACTTTGAGATATAAGTGGATATGGGAAATAATATAGAAACTGATTTAATAGTAATAAGAAGAGGGAACTTCAAACAGAATCTGTATGAAAAGTTGCATTTAAAAGTGGACACAGAATATATTGGGAATTAAAATAAAGCAAGGAAAAAGAGGCCAAAGATCATTTTGAAGAAGTCAAAATGCACAAGTTGTTAAGAGCCGATTGAGTAAGGAAGTTGAATGTTATGTGAAAGGGATTCTAGTGGTAGAAGGTTACAAAGCAAGAGAAATGCAGGCAGGGGTAGAAAAGGTAACATCAGGTGATACCTGAAGAGTGACAGCTACAGGCTAGTCATAGAGAAAGGCTTTACATGGCTTGCAGAAGACCTCCTGCTCAATCCTGGCACCTCCAGTGAAAAGTGGATGACTCTTCTTTAAGGTTGTTCGCTGGAGACCCTGGAAAGCCAGAGTGGACAATGCTGGGCTAAATGAATAAATAATTCGACAAGATAAGGCAGTTTCATTTGGTGTTATGTAAGAAGAGAGGGAAAAGCCCCCATGTTTTCATTAGGAAATGACAGGTTGGCTCTGGTTTGTACAGCTGCAGGCTCTGGCTTCTGAGCTTAAGACTGGCTTCACTGAAGCTATGCAGGAACTTTCAAGAATTCAGCACGGGGAATACGCTCTTGAGGAGAAGGTTCAAAGCTGCCGGTGTGCAATGGAGGAGAAAGTGGCAGAAATGAAGAATTCACTAAATGGTTTCAAGGTGAGTGTCGTGCATTAGCAACCTCCGCTAATCTCTACAGAGGACATAAAGCTTGCTTGCTTTAGGACTGGAAGGAGATGGACCCACCATACACCATGGAGAGGTAGAAAATACTGGGTGCAAGAAATGATTCATTGCCAAGCAGATTTCCAATGTATTTCAAGTATACAAGTTTTTTTCCAATGGGGATAATAAGCAAAAACAGAACAGAAAACCTTCAGGCTTCTTCTGTTTTACATTGTGTTGTTATTCCATGGCAGGCATGGGCCAGTCATTCTGTTTCCAATCTGTGCCATCCATAATTTCTTCCCTTTTGTTTCTGCTTTCGTGTACAGTTTCCTGAAAGTCCTTGTGAACGTCTAATTAAATGTATATTTATTGTAGAATACACATTTTAAAATAAATTTTGATACAGTTTTTGAGCCAATAACTGGCTCAACTGAACAGATGAAGTAGTACAAAGGTTTATGAATAAATTAATACTGCAGTCCTGTAGATGCCTGTTTGAAAGTATTTCTGAGATCAATGGGGCTCACTCCAAGATAACATTACTGTATATGATTACAACTTAAGTGCACACAGAGTAAGTATATCCACTGCACACATTAGGTCTAGAGTTGCAGGTCATATCCTCAAGCATCACTACTTCAGATTAAATAGAGCTATTAAATTACTTGAGAAGTTTAAGGAGATTTCTGTTGGTTTTTTTTTCTGTTTCTGTTAGCTTGTAATCTATGGTACCTGTGTTCACCACACATATCTTTAGGGATGTGTGTGGTGAAAATGTTAGTATTTAATCTGGAGTTCTTTTGGGGCTGCCTTTGTCATTTTCTTTAATTTTTGGTGTACTAGGACATTTGATTTACAGTACATTAAATGGAAAAGCCTCTTTTGGGTCATTCATTTCATTTTTCCCCATTCATGTTTTCTAACACTCCAGAAACCCGAAAAAACCCTTTAAAACTACTCCAGAAAAGCAGAGGCAAGAAAACAGATTCAATTTGCTCCAAAAGTAGGCAACAGTCCATGATATAGAAAAGTCATATCAGACCTGTTCAGACACTAGTTTATATTAGCACAACCAAACTACAGTATGAGTCCCATGCCATCTACCCAACCCAAAAGATTCTTTGGGTCTGGGCTGCACAATCGAAAAAAGGCAAGAAAGAAGCCAGTTAGCCAGGCACTAGCTGCCTGGGACACAGACACACTCAGCAAAGCAACAAAAAACAACATGGCACCAAGCACAACAAAAGAGAAATGCCCTGAGCTGGGTGTGCAACGAACAGCACTCACAATGCCCAGTGGTACACTAGCAGTCACAAAGTCCATATCCTTGGTCCACATACCCAATAATAATAACAATAACAGCAGCCACTATGACAGTGAAGATACACTACCCTTCATTTTTGAAGATGACCGCCTGGAGCGTTCACCCTGCTCATAAATATTTATATTGATATTTGCATGCACCAATAGGAGTTGGTAGGGGGCAGAGTTAAGTGGGGGAAGAAGAAAAGGAGAGGGGGTGAGTGGAGATGAGAAGGCAGAAGGTTGTTTTCGTCGTTGTTTAGTCGTGTCCGACTCCTCGTGACCCCATGGACCAGAGCACGCCAGGCCCTCCTATCTTCCACTGCGTCAAAGAAGGTTGTTTTAGTTGAGAGTTAAAGACATTGACTGGACTTTTATCATCTGTAACAATAAACAATTTCAACTTGGTTCTTAAATGATACGTTGCCCAGACCTCTGTCATTAATAGTGAACAATATTGATGTAATCAACTGGTGGCAGCTGAATAACACGTAGAGTGCAGCTTGGCTTGGTGAAACAGACAAGGGCCACGTGGGAATCTGACACCATCTCCATCTGGTTTACTGTTTAGGGAAAAAGGAAAGAAGTGAGTGGATAAGGTTGAGCAGTACCAACCTGTAATGTGCTCTACACGGGGCTACCTTTGAGGCTGCTGCGGAAACTACAGGTGGTGCAGAATGCGGTGGCCAGATTACTTAGTGGAGTGAAAAAATTCCAACATATCTCACCCACTGTGGCCGCACTGCACTGGCTGCCCATCCGTTTCCGCATCGACTTCAAAGTGATGATGCTCACGTACAAAGCCCTAAACGGTTTAGGGCCTCGATACTTGGCGGAACGCCTACTCCCACCAAGATCTACCCGTGTCACTCGTGCGAGCCAGGAGGTGAGGCTGAGGCTCCTGAGATTCGCGTGGCCCCCTCGCTGGGTATCTTTAAGAATCAATTAAAAACATGGCTGTTTAGGCAGGCCTTTCCATCAGATAATCCCTGACGCTCCTGACACCCTTTCCCTCTCTTATCGTTCCTTTCACTTTGTGTGATGTTTTATTATTAATAATTGTTTATATATTAATATTATTGTAGCAGTATTTGTGTTGTTAGCCACCTAGAGTGGTCTTGACCCGACCAGATAGGCGGGATATAAAATAAATAAATAAATAAATAAATAAAATAAAATAGTTGGACATGCAGGTGACTAACTAGCCTACTACAGACCTGGAAGATAGGAAAGCATTAGGGGAAGGTTAGCTGATATTGGTCTGTCAAGAAGTTAGAACCCTGCTTTCTCATTTCTCTCTTTGTGTATTCTTGATTCTTGTTATTCTCGATTCTTTAGCCCCTTGTTGGACAGTGTTTCACCAGACACTGATAGATTTCCTATTGACATAATCAATATGATATTCTTTCAATGTTGTCTTCAGTGTATCCCTGAATATTCTAGTTCTAGATAAATAAGATGGAGATGCATGAAGATTACACCCTCGCCTCTAAAGGGCAAAGGCAACATGCCCTCTGTTCTAGCTAAAAAGTTAGCATTGGTCCAAGCAGTTAAAGGACAGGTAACAAAATCTGAGGAGGACCTTTTCTCTCTAGCTATTCCTCCCTGTGCAAAGACATAATTTTTCTTCAGTGTAAGTTGAATTGCAATCACTCACCTCCAATACGTGTAGTTCAAATGCATACTGTGTGTTTCCATAATAGATTAAATTCTGTACTAAAAATCCGTCTGCCTGTACGTTTCTCTGTGTTGCAATAATTGGGCAATCATATCTCTATGGCTGACTTCTTTTGAGGAAAAAATTGTTGTGAAACGCTTCATTAAACATCTCCTTTTTCCAATCCACATGCTGCCATTTATCTGTTCAATCAGGAGGAACTTGATGAAGCCAAATCCATGATTGAGGAAATTAGTGCCAAGCAAGAAGAGATGCAACAGAAAATTGAACAGTTACAACAAGAGAAGAGGAAAGAAGCTCGTAAACTCAAAGCAAAGTAAGTAAATGAGTTCACATTTTCTTCAAAGACCTTCTGATTTCTTCACACTCCCTGGATTTTTCCCCCTCCAATCTCCTAACAGAATAATAGCACACCAGATGACATCTATTTAATCTTAAAATAAAATAAAATAAAATGCAGCAAAATGTATTGGATAGGAGTGCATCCAGTTGATCCCTGACAGAAATGAGAATCCCTCTCTCCCCTGCAGTCACTATATACCTTAAAAACCAGGGCTGAGGGGTGTTTTGGAGCAGATTCTTGTGGTACTTTGGAAACCAATGACTACAATTTAATGTAAGTTTTTATGAATTGTAGCTCACTTCATCAGATGCAGGTGCTGTAACATACTGACACGACTATTCCTTGGAAATCCTAAATCAAACTTACTGCCAAGTGTGCATTCTTGCTGTCTTGCTTTTTAATTTTTTTTTCTTCTCAGAAGAATACAAAAAGAGGAGCATGGCTCACAAACAGTGCCCACACCTCTTCAAGGAAGTCCCTTTCGATCGCTGAAACTTCCAGAGCCGGTTTTGATTAATGAAGATTTTGTCAACCTTCTGCACAATGCAACATATGAAAAAGGTATAAACGCATCTGTTCTGGATACGCTCTCTTATTGTCTACAGTCAGGCCAAATAACAATGTTTTAAAACTTCTTTCTGTTGATTTTCTTTTTCCTTCATTCCTAAACCTTTTGTTTCCATGGGGTCAGCCAAATCCCTGGGCATGGTGAAGTAAACTGCCTCAGCTAGCAGCACATTGTTAATTATTGTAATATATTATTACTGCTTTACACCACCAAGAAGTACTATTTTAATTTTTTTGTTTTGTACTGATTTATTTGAATCCAGAATGATTGCCAGCTTATCTCTCCTTACATGAAATTGTGTGTGTTACATAAGCCATATGAACTATGCATAAGGTAAAAGCTGATTATCACATTTGCTCAATACTCAAATCTTTGTGCAAACTATTTCAGGAGATAAGCCCTTCCAGAACAGAAATGTCTATGGGAACTTCACTCAAAAGGTGCTAGGAAAAGTTTGCACTAAAACACAAGCTTCTGTTCTGCTAGAAGTAAGCTGTTGTCTGTTCAGCAGAGCTATGCTAGAAGACAGCATGATTTCCAAATACACAAGAGCGCAATGTGTGTGATTTTTTTGTTCATATAGTGAAGTGCCATGGCAAAGTATTTGGGGAGTGGCAGAGACAAAGTCAAGAGTTTTTTTCGGAATTTTTATTTCTGAGAAAATACAACTGTATGGCTGTTCTAGAAGCAGGAAGATAAAGGGAAGTAAGAATAAGTCAAAGGCTATGAGGCTGTTCAGTGGTTGCTTTGGTGTTTGCAAAGGGGAAAGGAAGGGAAATTACAGTGGGAATTAGAAAGCTTTCAGGAAAGAACAATAATGAGACAGAGACCAACCCCATGATCTGTCTGAAAGACACATGCAATATTCATGCAAAATATTGTGCATGCAAGGGCAATCATGCAAGTTAGCATAGCATAGGCATCCTTCAGTCTCGAGAGACTATGGTAACATGCTCTGAATCGAGGTGTGTCCTCTCCAGAGCATGAAGCCCGGGTAAGGTAATATGGAGGATAGGCTGTTACCCAAGCAGCAGATCCCCCCTCTCCACATTGCTGAAATGGTCCAATGGAAAGGCAAGAGCCAATACAACTGGTTCCAGCAATGTCGCAGGAGTTGGCAGAACGACACATGCTGCCTTCGGGACTCCAGCTCCGGATTTGCCTCGAGGTTAACTCCTGAAGTTTTCCTTCTCCTGGATGGGCTGCCTTCCATGGCTGACGAGCCCCACCTACCCGGCCTGCTATTTAATAGTGCAAAAGTATGATCTGATCCTTATGGGAACTATGGGAACTATTTATATGGTTTCTCCCCAGTGTGAGTTCTCTGATGCAGATGAAGGCTATTGTTTAGACAGAAGCTCATTCCACATTCTACACATTTATATGGTTTCTCGCCTGTGTGAGTTCTTTGATGACATCTCAGGGAACTGCTCTGCCTGAAGCTCTTTCCACATTCCATGCATTTATATGGTTTCTCCCCATGCAAGGGGATCATGCAAGTAATGTTTACATTTCACCTATCATCTGTCATGAGCCCAACTAACTATGAGACTGAGTGTACAACCCAAACATGTGCAGGCATGCAGCACATAGATGGCAATATCATGCATGCCATCTGTATCTGGTTTGCATTGATAGTGGAGGTCACATTACACTGCATTACACTGTATCTGGTTTGCATTGTTTGCACTCTTGCACTAGTATAGTAGAGTGTTGCAAATGACCCCAAAATATGACCCGTGCATAATATTTGTATAAGGGCAAGTGCATACATGTTTCTCTCCTTTAATAAGCTCGTTGTTGTCCAAGTGCACATGCAGTCACTGCATGATTGCCAGGCAGGGAGTGGGTTGGACACTGAACACAGCTGGTCATTCTGATCCACATTCCCTCAACAAGATCCTGGCCATAGGAAGGCAGAGCTTCAGAAACAGTATCTCTAATGTTTAGATCTCTGTGAAGAGGTCATTTTACTGATCTTCCTTCACCAACTTATTCTGTTCTTGCTTAGTCTCTGATTGCAGACCCAGAGGACTGGGAGAAAGCAACATGAAAGGTAGGTACACTAGAATTGTATTAATACTGCTCTCGGGTATTAGTATCAAATTGCATACAGAGAGGTCAAGACAGTGACATTGAAACTCTTTGTGTGGGTTGTGATCCACTGTGACCTCCACTATCAAGAGGCAATAATGATCCAAGCAAGATGAAGATAGATAGATTCAGGGTTCTGAGTGTGACTGGATATTAAAGCAAAGTCTAAACTGAACAAGAACTAATGTGATGGTTCAGGACCATGGTTAGCAACCCCATTGCTGAGATAAAAGAGCAATTTGTATCTCCATTGATGTGAAGCAATCGCTAAAGCCCGACAGCCTAGGATAACTAAAACATTCCACTCTCACAGCGCTGCATCTAACAAATTAAAGGGTAAGTTACCTTTTGTGTAGCCACTAGTTTTTTCGGGGCAGCAGGGTTTCAAATCGGAAGTACAACTTTGGGGAAAGCACCTCAGTTTTTTTCTGATTCTCTGAGGCACATGAGACCTTTTCACCATGCCAAGGTGTAGACTCCACTCACTTGGATTTTAAGCAATGAAGTGTGGTGAACCACTGCTTAGCTTATCTACCTGGGAAGAACTGGAGGGGCATTTGTCTCGTACTCAGAGCTGCTGTTTCAGGAGATGCTTTTAAAACACTCATTTATTTTATTTAGATTGAGCTTACTGATTTCAGAGCCTTCACACTTAAGCAGATATGGACTCACAATGGCTTCTTACAACCAGTCTTAGACTTGCCTAATGAGCCAAGGAGCTATTAAGGATATACTTATTGGTTCTCCTAACAATGTTCTCATTTCCAGGGCTAACTAGTACAAATCAGGACACAGAGGAGAGCATCAGAGCTTCCTCATCAGCTGATGCTCAGTCATCATCTAGAATGTGGAAACAGACCAAGGACAGTAAGGAGTGGGGTGATGAACATACTTCAAAGGACCAAAGTAACATGCAGAAGGAAATGGGCCCATATGGCTCAATAGAAAATGTATTGCAGGACCCTTCTATTGCAGGTGAGTTAAGAGAAGTGATTAAAAAGTAGATAGCTTTAAAGCAGGTTTTTGCAGCCTGTTTCACTCTGAATGCATGGGATGACAACTTCCAGCCAGCCTTGTCATTAGCTGATTTAAATATTCTTAAGAAACAAGCAGGATTTAAGTAGTCATAAGGGTAATGTATGAGCTAGGGAACATTTTGAACCCCAAGTTGCTGATTTGTGACCTTATAGGAACATTGATTTCTTATCTTCTTAGCTAGAAGAGAAGAGTAAATTGTTCAGAAAACCAGTTGATCCACAAGGCTCCTGTTTCAAAAGTAGACTTTGACCCAAAATCCAATGGAAATGGCTTCACAGCAATATGCTGAAGAAATCTTGCCATTATTTTGATTTTAAAACTAGGTGTCTCACTAGTGTGAGAGAGCCTCTAGGCCTGCAAAAAAATTATACAATGCTTTTTTCATTGTGTTCTCTGCATTTTTCTGACAGCTCTGTGTAATGATAGTTCCTTTTCCCTTTGTGAAGCTAGAGAACAGAAGTCACATAGAAGATATGAAAGGAAAGTATGTTTGATCCAAAAGACTTAAACAACTCATTCAGTGCTGTTATGTTGGCTACTTCATGCAAAAAGGCAGCACTGGCTGCATTTTCTAAAGCAAATTTTATAGAAGTGCACAAACAAGAATCTCAAAAATGCACACGGTCTCTTACAGACCAACAAACCTCTTAACCGATATTTGAGATTTCTCATTTATGGTGAGAAGCCAAACCATGTTGAATTGCTTCTATCAGCAGACCTTGGAAGAAGGGAGATAATCTTCCCTCAGTTCCACTTCAAATCATAGTCTAGAATCAGTTCTGGAGGTCTGCGGAATTCTCCAGAATGAAAATTTCAGTGGTGTGGAGGACTGCATGGAAGAGGGAATGGGAAGAAGTTCTGCTGTTCTAGTTTAACACTACAGGCTTTGAAATCTGAACTGTAGATTAGTTTAGTAATGGCCAGAATTCTGTCAGTGATTCACACGCACATAGGTTAACTCGCTGATTACTGATTACACAACAGATTACAAAGATGCATGCTTGGTAATGTGACCAGTTTCCAATTTGTTAGTGTCAGTTTGCTGGAATCAATTATCCACTTTTAACTTAATGAATGCATAAATCATCAACAGGATTCTCACTATTGCAGGTTAAAATTAATCTCATCCTCTTTACTTTGAAAGATTTGCAGTTTCATGTTTTATACTTTCCTGTATTTTCCTCTCAGGATATCTGAGGAAGTAGACTTATTCACAACAACTCACATTAAAATATAGCAGTCTTTAAGGTGCCAAAACATGTTTGCATTCTTAATTTTTCCCCCCTCTTAGGATAGTTTGTCCAAAAACAAGTGCATGGCCATTACAAACATACCTAAACAAATGTTTTCTTTTGTTTCTTTTTTGTCATAGCTAAAAGGCAAAATATTGCTTTGGACTTACTAGAGTCTGAAAGGAAGTACGTTGTTAATCTCTCCTTGGTCCTCAAAATTAGAACCACAGTCCATGGACAAGAAATGAAAAGGAACACCAAAGAAAGAAGGTGTTTTATTGGACCTATATTCATACGACCATATTTTTTTATATGATTAAATGATCACTGTCCTACCCATTTCATTCTCCCCTCTCCATTTAATCTTGTAATTCTCTCTATAATTTTAATTCCTGCCACCATATGTTAAAACTATTTGCTTCACAATCCCACTGTTCCCATCAAACAGGGAAGAATTTTTTTTCCCAATTTCTGTTGAATATCACACAATATTGCATGTGTTGATATTAGCTTGCCAAATGGAACGTAATCATCCTCTAAATTTGTAGTGTATGGGATCCGAGTGATGAAAAGGGATATAAGCTCTACCAGTAGCGGGATAAAACCCTGGTGTAATTAATGTAGTTACTTTCCTTATCCTTTAATTTCCACTACTGTTAATCAGTTCTTTATAAACCCTTATTACCCTTATCATGTACTTTCATCATCATGCCTACTTCATCCTGAAGTCACAACCAATGGGTCAGGTTGTGGCTTGAATGCCCTTTCACTAGCTTGGCTTTGATACAGTTGATACTTCTTCTGTTGGACAGTATATATTTTAATTTATTCCTATACTATTTGTGTATGGGTCTTTGTAAGGTTCTTCTTGTTTTCTCCCTGCAGTTTTTTCCCCAACTCTGTGCGATACCTGGTTCAGCAGCATGTAGACTTACTTCATGCTTTGCAAGAAAGAGTTCTCAGCTGGCCCCGACAGGGCATCTTGGGAGACATATTCCTCAAGCTGACCAATGATGAGGTAGATGTTGGATATGTTACATGGAGGAGGAGAAAGATGCACTTTGAAATAATTAGCCTGTTTTGGACCTGCTCACTTAATAATACATGTATATTTTGATTTTTGTTTATTTATTTTCCTGAGGAACACAAATATACTGAAATGGGTTGGATTTATTTATTTAAAATATTTTTACCCTGCCTTTCTCCTTAAAAAGTATCCAAGGTGGCTTACATCCTTGAAAGAGAATATTTAAAGCTGAAACAATGAGTATACAACAGTGGTTTACATTATTAAAAGACAATATTTGAAGCTAAGAACAATGAGTGTAAAGAGGCAGCTTGCATCCTTAAAAGGCAATACTAAAGCAAGAACAATAAGTATGCAAATACTTAAAAGGAACAAACAAATACCACTCTGAGAGATGGTAAACACAAGTAGAACTAAAGTCCCGGTCAGAGTAGTCAGGTCTCCTGTGGGAGGGAGTTCCAAAGTCTGGGAGCAACAATAGAGAAGGCTGTCTCCTGTGTCCCCATCAGATGCATTTGTGAAGGTGGAGGTGGTGGAACCGAGTGAAAGGCCTCGTCTGATGAACTTAACTAGAGATGGGGGTATTTGTATTTGTATACGAATATTCTCCCACAGGTGCAGATAACAAGGGTCCGGCCCCTTGGAGCCAGACCGTCCACTCACGATTCTGTGTTGCTGCAAGCTCTGCGTGCCCTTCCTATCACTCCAGAGCTCGCGATGGATTAGCCACTCCTGGCAGAAGGCGGGATGACGACCCTCTCTGCCAGGTCGAAGAGTGGCTCGCTGATCACGAGCTCCGGAGTGATAGGAAGGGTGCGCGGAGCTTGTGGCAATGGCGGAATTGTGAGTGGACAGTCTGGCCCCAGGGGACTGGCTCATTATCTGCACCTGTGGGTGGGATATTCGTATTCGTTTATGAATACGAATACCCCCATCTCTAATCTTAACACCCTAGCTGGCTCATAGTAGGAGAATCAATCTTTGAGATAGCTTGGACACAGGCTGTATAGGGCTTTATATGTTAAAACTAGCATTTTGACTTGTGCAGGGAAGCTGCGCACCTGTGTTTTCTGGGGGAATGTGACCCCATCCAGTACAGACTGCATCTCTATTCCTTGATCTGCTTTTCGCTTGGCCAAAAGCACCTCTGTCTTATCTGGATTAAGTTTCAGTTTATTCATCCTCATTCAGTACATTACTGATGCCAAAGACTGGTTTAGAGCCAAAACAGCTTCCTCAAATGTAGGTGGCAAAGAGAGGTACAGTTGGATGTCATACATGGGAGCAGGAAATAAAGGTTCAGGCGAGTATCATCTATGTGAATCACCCACTGTTCTTGTACTTGTAGCAGAATGGAATTTGAGGTTCAAACTATATATTACAGATAGCACATTATAGGAGGAGAATTTTAACAGTTGAATGATATGCAAGTAAGATTGCTATGGCATTTAATTATAGAAAAATCATGTCTCTGAATTAAGCTTTTATATGTATATGCTATATGTAACAGTTTTACATATTCAAACGATTGAATCTTAATACAGTATATCTCTTTGCCAAGTTGCTACTTTTCGGCCTAAAGCAGGGTCAAGGGAATATTATTACGATGCAGAGGAATCCTGATGGAAAATTTTGAATTTGCTTTTCAGAACAATTTTTTGGACTATTATGTTGCTTACTTAAGAGACCTTCCAGAGTGCATTTCGCTGGTCCACGTGGTGATTCTAAAAGAGGTGAGGTTGTTCGGGTTAAGTGTTTTGGTTTCTGAGACGTGCATAGTACTGTAAAATCTTTTGAACAAACATTAGTCCTGTTGGTTCTGATCCAGCCCCATGTGGACCTTTGCTGGCAGTGGCACTTCTCTTTTCAGTTCAATTCTATTCTGGTGCAGCCCCAGGTACACAAAAGGCTATGTGAGCGCACAACAAATCTTCATAAAGTAATGGCTGAAACCCAGTAGGAAGTCATAACTAGAACAGGCCTGTTGAATCAGTTGGGATTTGTTGCATTCTGTATATGTATCAACACTCAGTGGTCTCTTCCAACTCTATGACTCTCAACTGGGTTACTAAATCTGGGCAAGTGCCATTAGTGGAGCTGATATCTAATTTGCATAATCAAATTGGCTTGCTGAAAATGAGGGCTGGGTGGATCTATGCAGAGTGACCATAAGGGAAAGAACCCATTCTGCCCAAATTAAAGAGAAAAGCCCTTGGCTTTCATATTCATGTCATGCCCTAGTTACCTAATTTGCTTCATTGAAATCTAGGATAACCAACAGCCCATTCTTTTTGTTTGCAGTGTAAAGTTTGCACTATCGTTGAAAAGCTTGCAAATACATTACATTTTACTTCAGATTTTTTATTTTTTTATTGTAATCTGTTTGTGAGCTTGTACCAACCCTTTTTCCGAACCCTAGACCCCTTACAAAAAAGCTGCTATTACAACAAAATAACCTTTTAAAGAACTCTGTTTATTATTTATTTATTTAAAATATTTTCCCGCCTTTCTCCTTATGAAGGACCCAAGTCAGCTTGCATTATTAAAAGTCAATGTTTAAAGCTAAAAACAGTAAATATTCAAATACTGAGAAGAATCAACCAGTAGCACACAAAAAGATGGTAAACAGGCATAATATAATTGTAGGAAGCATTTCCAGGAAACAGCATTGAAGCTTATATTTTGGCTGTTTCTGAACTGCCTTGGGGGAGCTCCATATATAGCACTTTAGAATATTCTAACATCACCTCAGTGTGTTTTGGGGGGAAAGTGTTTCAGCGTAATAAAGAGGAATTTATATGCTCAGTCTTTCATATACTAAAATATGTTATTTATAGAACATGCTGATGAGATGAACAAATGTAGAAAATGGTGAATATTTTGCATTATATACTTGGCCCAAAATTTTGATTGAAAACCAACACAGAATTACATGTGCTTAAATTAAATTAATTAGCTCCAGTATTCTTGTATGCCAGATACTACACTTGATTTTAGCCAAAAAATAGAGAAGGCTTTTTCAATTTCTGGCAATGTAAGAGATCTAAATTTATTCTCTTTCATCTGTTCATGTCAATAGATTGAAGAAGAAACGAAGTCTGACCTTTACATATTCTTCTTTCATATTGTCCAGCGTATTCCAGAATACCTTCTGCATTTGCAGGTAAATTTTAGTGATGATAATTGTCCTCATTCTAAACCAAAAGTGGGGAAACCAGGAAGTCTCCAGAAGCTATTGAACTCTAGAGCCACATGATGGTCTACAAACAGCAATGATGAGAGGTGGAAAGCAACCCTCTAATGAGGAGCTTCAAACATTTCCCACCCTTGCTCTAGTCTATATACTTCATGTTAAGAAATAGCAGATAGATTTTCACTGGTTATTATCTTGGAAGCAATGCTCAGATAGATAGATAGATAGATAAAGTTGTTATCTTGGAAGCAATACTCAGATTGAGAGAGAGAGAGAGAGAGAGAGAGAGAGAGAGAGAATGAGGACTGTCAGAATTCCTACTTGTGATGTCCTCCTTGTAATTCAGTTAAATGTATAGGAGTCATCATAAAACACAGAGTCTGAAATCCTGTTGTTGTGTTGTGTATGTCAGAGCCCTCTGAGAATCTCAATGGGGACTTGTTCACTAATAGAAATGGCAGCTCTAAGGTGCTGAAGAGATGGCCTGGTAACAAAAGCTAGTAAGGGGTCCAGTAGAACCAATAAGACCACACTTTCCCTAATCAGTTCCTGGTGTAGCTCATCCACAAAAGGGACCATAACTGTCTCCATCTCCTAACCAGGCCTGAAGCTAGATTAAGATAGATCTAAATAATCAGCTTAATTAAAGAATCCCTGGAGTTCATTTAAGAAACCATGCATCTGCCTTACTCTGTATGTGTGTATGTATATACATACCACATGTACCACGTACGCACATGTATCAGACCACTGGTTCTTCTGGCCTGACTAGCAGCAGGGCTCCAGGCTTTCAGACAGGAGCTTCTTCCAGCCTTATCTGGAAATGCTGGAGATGCTTTATCCCATGGCCCTTTGCCAAGAGTTTCATGGCTTTTCATCAAATGGACTGAGAATATAATTCAGCACTACTGTTCTTCTTTTGCATCAGAATATCCTGAAGTACACAGCGCAAGAACACCCTGACTACTACCTTCTCCTTGTTTGCGTTCAGCGCCTGCGGGTTTTCATCTCCCACTACAGCCTCCTTTTCCAGTGCAATGAAGACCTGCTGATACAGAAACGAAAGAAGCTTAAGAAGTGAGTTCAGTGCCTGAGCATGGTCTCTTTTTCATTTTTACCAAGCCCTTCCTTTAAACAGCCTATATCCCTTTTAATTGTCATAAGAATCTAGTGAGAGAAGTTAGACTGAAAAATAGTGGCTGACTGGACAGAGCTGATAGATCATGGGGCTCCCCAGCCTTAGCATACATCATAGTACTCTCATCTTTCATGGTCTACAATATAGCCAAGCCCAAAATGGTATGGCAATTTCCACCTGGAGTTCAGAAGAGAAATCCAATATGGTGGGTTACACTATTCATTGCCCAGATCAAGCTAGCAAATCACATGACTAAATCCTAATGTTGAGCATTTGTTTCCTGTTGGAGGATTAAGTCTAGTTTAGCTAACATTACTTGTTTCACCTCCTGGAAAATGAAGTTGTCATCAAGGCTGATGAAGAATAGTTGGACTTCACATTCTTGGCAGCATTGACTTTCAACTGATATCAGGATAGTTTAACTGCCTCCCATTCCTATTATATTTTTTCTCTTTGTATGTTTGGTAATCTGACCCAGAAGGATATCATCCATATTGACACTTTGGCTTAAGACATCTGGAGCAGCCCCCCACAGTGATGTCATTATCACTTTTGTCCTTAGATTTTTCACTCAAATGCTCTCCAAGTCATGAATCTCCTCACAGGTGTACGCACCCTTTATATATAATGAAACTTGCCCTGCTGTCCTGTTTCATCTATTACTGTATTCTGGTCATGAATCTCTTCCCACCAGCTTTCAGTTATGCCTGTTAACAGCAATCTTGGCAAATGTCTGGGTCCATGTCCCAAGTCTGAGTCTGAGCCTTTGGTACCAAGCCTCAAGTCCGAGTCCCTATTAAAAACAATTCCCCTCCCCCAGAAAAGAGGGGTGGGCAGGTGGATTCCAAGTTGCAAGCCAAGTCTGAGTCATTGGAAAAAAAAACTGACTTGAGTCAGAAATTGAGTCACTGGTGCAACTTAATTCTGACTTGACAGCAAGTCCTGCAGCTTGAGTCCCCACCCCTGCCTATTAAATCATATTTGCTTTCCTGCATTAAGAATTCAAGACTGTTTCCCATGCTCTGTGCATTATAGAGACATATGACACAATAGCTCCTTCTTTCCAGCCGTATTCTTACTGTCTTTTCCCATTCGTTGGCTGGTTCCTTTGCCATTATCTCTGTTTCTGGTGTATCATTGATAGCCTTGTCCCCTGTCCTCTGAAATACTGTCTCCCCCCCCCCCCCGTACTTCTCTGGATGTTAAGTTTCAAGTCCTTCTGATCTGGTTTGCAAAACTTCTTATTTTCAGTCTCAGATCCACACATGTGGGTCTTCTTCCTGCAGAGAGCTTCCTTTGGAAACTTCTAGAGCTAAGTAGCTTTGGATGCAACCCTATCCTCCATATGCCTACATGTGCTCCAACAGCTCTCTCTTCAGTTTCTTTTCATTTTCCATTAGAGCAACAATTAAAAAAAACTTATCTGAAAAATTTTCCAAGTTTGAGTGGCTTTTCTTCATAACTGCTTTTTTTGGTTCTTCAGTTTAAAATGTTTCACCACATTTTCACTGAGTAAAGTGAAAGAGGAATTGAGACTTTTGAAAAGAGCCTAGCTACAGCCAACCATTTCATTATTTTGACACCAAGTATAGTATACTTCTATGAACTTTGGTGCTTTGTTATAGTAACCGTTTGTACCTGAGACTTATGGATTAAGTGCAAACAGGTGGCTTGATTCTAAAAATGTAGTTTATTTCTTATTTATGATTCAAGATATTTCCTTGATTGGGTTGTCAGGCCCAGGAGCTGCTGCTGCTCCTCTTCCTACTAATTCTCCTCCTCCTCCTCTCTTTTTTTGTACTCTAAAGGGGGCTATAAGGGCCAAAAACTTTAGTTTGTTAAAATTGGAATTCTGTTTTTTTTTTTCAAAACACACATTGCAATTTCTACATGTGCACAAAATTGTAGAATCATTGTCATGGGGCTTGTACTACAGAAATGAAATTCTCTGCTGATGAAATAAACAGGTGCAATAAATTAGCTGTTTTTAAAAAGGTTTTATAGTTTATCTAAAAGTGATGTTGCATCTTTGTTTTACTAGATCTTCCTTCATAAAGTTATATAAAAATCTGGCTTCTCAGTGTGCTACCAGTGGCCAAGATGTGTCTCCAACCCTCAGTGCGACATCAATCCGTGACAGTGGGATCCATTCTGAAGAGGCAATGCAGCTGTTTCCACCATCCTCCTCTTCAGGAACATCAGCTATGTGAGTATAATACTGTAATCAAAAATTAGCTCAGTGATGTACATGAACAGCATATTAGCATTTTTTAACATTGTCATGATCAACAACAACAACAACATGTTGTCAAGTCAACTCTGACTTATTGTGATCCTTGCCAGAATAAGGATCAGTATAAGGTACTCAAAAGTGGTTTACCATTCCCTTCTGCTGGTGGTGCTGTGGGACAGGGTGGTTTGCCCAAGGCTAAATAGGTTGGTTTTTCTCTCAAGGAAGGAACCCCTGACTCCTGACTACTCTAATGCACAGAGCTATCTTTTACTTGCAAAATTTACTCATCCCCCCTCCCCAGATTTATATACTGTAATATTAATATGCTATTTTTCTGTTTTTAAGACACTACTTTTTTTCCTAAAATCATTACACTAAAAATTGAGGGGTGTCTTTTACACGAAAGTAAGCTAAGATAGCTGAGGAGAGAACAAAACAGCATATACCTTGCCTCTGTAAACAGGCTTCTTTCAGTCACAACTCACGAGGCTTATGGAACTGACCTCAGCTGATGCTGAACAAACCAATTGGAACACACCTCGTTGGAGGTGGAGTCTGTAGGTTCAGATTCAACAGGGACTCAATATGTCCAACCGTTCTGAGCCCAGAGCCTGTTCTTAATTTTTGGTTTAGAAAAGGGAGGAGGGTCTTATAAATGGGGGTGTGTTATAAACAGAAAAATACGGTAATTAATAATGCATCTGTGTCACGTTAGATGTCGACCTGGATAGACGCATTGGCAAAGCAGCTACCATGTTTTCAAGACTCACAAAAAGAGTATGGCTCAATAAGAAGCTGATAGCATATACCAAGATCTAGGTCTATAGAGCCTATGTCCTGAGCACACTCCTGTACTGCAGTGAGTCCTGGACCCTTCATGCACGGCAGGAGAGAAAGCTGAACACATTCCATATGCGCTGCCTCCGACGTATTTTTGGTATCACCTGGCAGGACAAAGTTCCAAATAGAGTAGCCCTAGATCGAGCTGGAATTTTTAGCATGTATACACTACTGAAACAGCGACGCCTACGTTGGCTCGGGCATGTTGCAAGAATGGCTGATGGTCGGATTCCAAAGGATCTCCTGCATGGAGAATTAGTGCAGGGAAATCGCCCCAGAGGGAGACCACAGCTGCGATACAAGGATATCTGTAAGCAGGATTTGAAGGCCTTGGAAATGGATCTCAACAGATGGGAAACCCTGGCATCTGAGTGTTCAGCCTGGAGGCATGCGGTGCATCACGGCCTCTCCCAATTTGAAGATACCCTTGCCCAGCAGGCTGAGGCAAAGAGGCAATCATGAAAGCAGCAAAATCAGGGAGCTAGACGGGGCACAGATTGTATTTGTCCTAAGTGTGGAAGGGATTGTCACTCTAGAATTGGCCTTCTCAGCCACACTAGACGCTGTTCCAAGTCCTCCATGCAGAGCACGATACCATAGTCTATCGAGACTGAAGGATGCCTATGATGATGTGTCACAAAAGCAGCAAAATCAGGGAGCTGGACAGGGGACAGAGTGGTCTTTTAGACTAGATGGGTGGGGTATAAATCAAATAAATAAATAAATTTGTCTCCAGTGTGGAAGGGATTGTCACTTTCGAATTGGCCTCCTCAGCCACACTGGATGCTGTTCTAAGTCCTCCATACAGAGCACGATACCATAGTCTTTCGAGACTGAAGGATGCCTAATGAAAAATGTTCCTACAGAGTGTTGTCATGGCTGGGAATTTCTGACTTTGAGTATGGACTTTGTTGGTAGTAAAGCAAAAGATTAAATTGAGTCCCCCAAAGGTGACTTCTTCCTATATTTTCATATATAAGCCATTAAATCATCAGTAGATGGCCTGTTCCTGTGGACAGCACGAGTGGCCAGGCCACTATTCTGGATGACATACTATCAAAACAACAGCATAAACATACATACTTGATTGATTGATTCTGCTCTGGTGCGATTTTTAAATGGTTTCATCTCCATCGTATTTCTAGTCATTACTGAGATGCCTGTTTCAGTCTTTGCTTCTTTATTGCTGCTTTTATTATTTTATTATGTTTTTTAATTTGATTTATATGGATTTCATCTGCATTTTGAATTGTACATTACTCTGATAATTGTTACAAGGCTAATAAACCTTACAAACAACAAGCATAAATGTTTAAGATTTAAATTAGGGAGCTTATTTAGTGTAACGGAGAGGCAAGCAGGGCCAAGATGGATCCCAGGGTCTCACACCAACCCACCGAGGGAGACTGGTGTCACCTTTCTTTCTAAAGCAGTTAGTTCTGCAGATGTTCCAGACCCACCCACCCAACTTTCTGAGCAAACAAGAGGCAAACTTGAAACTTCTCTTCCAGAGCCTTAGACCAGCAAGAATTAATAGTAAGAAAGAATCAAGAGGCAAGATGACGGATTTAGTAAAATAACTAAAGAAAATAGGTATATTTAGAAGTCATAGGGGAAAAAATATACAGAGAACAAAAATAGCCTTTTAGCCTTTCTTTGCATACTGTAGTCACTCCAACAGGTCTCTGTAACATGCTTAGTCTCATGTTATGTCTGGTCCTCTGTCTCTCCTACCCCTGAAGGCACTTGATGTCTCACATGAAGAAGAGTCAACAACAAGGGATGGAGGGCATGCAGGGCACCCCATCAGGTGAGTGGGAAGGTGATGGAAGGCGGCATGAAAGGCCAGAGAATGTCCTGACTCCATCTCCATTCAGTGAACAGGACCTGAAGGCTTTTGCAGCTTCCTTGCAGGCCCTTCCAGACTCAGAGTACAACGCTCCCTCTCCAGGCACCAAAGTAAATCCTGAGCGGACTCGGAGGGCCTCAACATCAGATCTTTTCCATCACAGCAGAAGTTTCACTCCTGACTACGAAGACTTTGAATACAGAGGAGAGACCTATACCACAACTGGACCACCATACCAGGAAGAGCACCTTCAAAACATGGCCGCCTTTGAGACTTGCTCTCCCGCTTCTTCTGAGTCGAGCATTGACATCTGTTTCTTGAGGCCTGTGAACTTCACGACAGAGCCGGAAAGGACAGAGCACACGTTACAGCCCCTTCCGAAGAGCGGTGCCCAGGCCAACACCAGCAGCAGCACCCACAAGCGTGAGCTTTTCCGGAGCAAAGGAAAACAGCTGAGCCGGTCCTTGAAGGAGTTTCCTCGCAGTGCGACGGAAGGTGTCAGTGCCAGGCTATATAGCACACGCAGCAGCAGTGGGAGTCGGTTGCCGGCCAAGCAGGAAAGGGGCTTCCAACCCCATGGCATCTCGGCCCCCTCCCGGAGCACTCCACGCAACTACTTCCCTCCACAGCGAGGAATGGGTGAAAAGCCAAGCTTTGTGGAAGTAAGGAGAGCGAAAGGCAAGGGCAAACCCACTTCCCAGCAGGGTCTGAGAAACACGTAAGCTGGGCACCCACTCTGAGGCAAAAGGGAGGGGGTTTAGAGGTGGGTCCTGAAGATGGGGGCCTCGGCCCTCATTTATTGACCATGGTGATCTCTCATGTTGATTTCCAGTTGGGAGCATTTCTATAGAGTTCCTTCTAAGCTAGCCAGTCTCCCATCAATATGGTTGCCAAAGTTAGATCTGCCACATCATAGCAGTACAGACACATCAACCCTACATCCTAAGCTAAGAAAAGGGGCATCTGGAGCCCCAAGCACTTTCCTGCATCTCTCAACGGCCATCTTCCCAATGCTAGCTTAGCTTGTTCTGTTTAACTGGCTGAGCAGGACATGTATGGGTGAGACCGACCAATGGATTTCATAGGAAAGAGGTATCAACTTCCACTGGATCCCATTGATTCCACTAGAATCAGTTATCTCCTACCTCTCCATCCCTTCTACAGTCTTCCGTGCACCAAAATGCTCTGGAAGGGCTGGGAAACCCTTTGGATAAGTTATTTGGGGCACAAGCCAGATTGGAATGGAATGGGCAGGAATGAACATTTGGTAATAAAAATCAATGTGAGATATGATGGATACATATTAAAACAATAGAAATAAAATGTGTCTAATATTACGATTTTATTAACCCATTAATGCTCCAAAACTACCAAACTAGTCAGATCAGAATGAAACAGTTTGGAAAAGCAACAAGACAGTAGGATAAAGTCAAAATGCATCCATAGGAACCACACTCCAGTATCTGTTCTGTGCAAAAACAAAAAAACAAACAAACAAACAAACAAACAAATACATACATTATCATGCACTTCTCCCGGGTTCCGTGTTTAATTAAAGAGTCAACTGGTAATAACATATCTGGAACAAACAAAGTGGATGTCACTTCTGCACGCTTATAAGTACTTATTGATGAAACACCCATCCAATGTTGGGCTCCCATACTTTGATATGTGAGTCTTTTTGAAACCTGTGGTGGAAATCTGGTCATCCCAGGATTGATCCCAAGGGTAGATATTTTTTATTTTTGTGGTTATTCACCTCTCTCTGGAATTCTTCCCTTTCTCTTGTTCTAGCTTCTTTTTCTGCTGTTTTTCCCAATACCTGGCGCTCTCTCCACTCCTTCTTGGCTACCTCTTTAGGCATCTTTAAAGGCACCCATTCACCTGTTCATGGATCTTCCTTAATTATCTTGAACCGGTTCCCTTTCTCCTTAGCATCCTCAGCTATCCAACATTCTTCAGAGATCTCTCCCTCATCTTTTATATCATCCTCTTTTCCCACCTCAGTTGCTCTCCCTTGTGGACTCTCATTTCCTGCATCCTCTACACTTGAAATGACACTTCCTGCCATTCTGTCATTTCCTACACATACGTTGCTGCTCTGTCAACTTCTCTGGAGTGGACGGCACACCCACAATCTCTCCTTCTCTCACACACTTAGACATTAATGGGTTAATAAAAAGTAATATTTTATAGGTCTGCTTTCTCAAATATCACTCTGATGTGGGTCCATCACATTCCACTAGTTTTGGCACCATTTTTCAACACTTTGTGCCTGCTTGGTTCTGTCTTGGCTATGACCAAGATCCGTTTATTCTGAAGCCGAAAAAGCTGCAGAAAGATGGGAACAGAAAGATAATCCAAGTTCCACTGGGTAATAAATCACATTGTTGAATCTTGGAGAGACACATGGGCAGAGGAGGCAAAAACACTCTTTAGATGACATATGAGGATAAGTTAATCTAAGAAAAATGATAATTGGAATGGCAAAATGGTAGCTTGGAGAGAACATATGCTGCGGAGAAAAAGGAACAGCCATATATTTAATCCTATCAGTGGTGGTAGAACTTAGATCAGTTTAGGACAGGGGCTGGAAGACCAAGCCTCAACCTTTATTTCTCAAAGCCTTCATTATATCAGGATTGATGGGGTTGATATTGCATTGAAGCTTTTTACATACTTAGAAAATAGTAAGAAGTGCAACACATGCAACTGTTGGGACAAAGTGGAGGTTATAGGGTGCATCATGGTGGTTTCTTTCCCCATACATAAGACTCTCAACTTGATGCAATGTTGGACATTCTTAGAAGTACTTTAAAAATATATATATCAAGGGATACTTTCAGTAATTTCCTTGAGTGATGCTGATTGCTTTAGAGCAGTGATGGCAAACCTTTTTGAGCCCAAGTGCCCAAACTGTAGCACAAAACCAACTTATTTATTTCAAAGTGCCAACACTGCAATTAAACCTGAATACTGAGGTTTTGGTTTAGGAAAAAAACTGCCCCTGCACTGCAATACTTGGCTCCCCCCCTCCCGGGACAATATTAACAGAGAAATACTTACAGGTCCTCCAATCACTCGTTGGGCTAGGCCAGTAGTGGCCACCATTGCACCCCTCCGTTAGACCACTACCCCAGCAGAGCGGAGTGCCAAAATCCGGGATCGGAGGACAGGTATTTCTTGATGGCGACTTATGGCTCGCGTGCCCACAGAAAGGGCTCTGCGTGCCGGCTGTGGCACACGTGCCATAGGTTCGTTACGGCTGCTTTAAAGCTATGGAAGTTCAGCTCAAGGAAGTCAGTCTTTCAGATGCTGGTAAGATAACTGAGTACTGTATAGGATTAGTGCAAGTTGAGCTGATATGGGCAAGACTGAAAATATGTGTTGTGAAAATGGCACACCATGGTTATAAGCAAGTAGGAATGCATGTCTTGGGATTGGAGTCACATAACAAATGCATGCTCAGAAAAGAAAAAAACCATTGTGGTGCTAACAATTCTATTTCAGTGGAAGCTTTTGTAGATCAACACCCACTTTCTCAAATACAGCGGTGTGAAATATACGTGACTAGTATACAGTAATTATACATATACCATGACCAAGGATGGCTACACATAATAGATAATTTAATAAAGATTAGTTGAGACTGGAACTGTCAATCTTTAATTACCTCAAGTAGCAGTTTGTGGAATGGGGAATATCTCAGATTAACTAAACGTGGCTGTCATAGGAATGCTAGAAGAGGTTAATGGGACAGCATTGGAGTCTGTCAAGGGAGGCAACCATTTTATACCTATAAGACATAGAAAGCTAGATGGTTAATATATGTGGTGTGCTAAGAAGCCTTGATCCCTATTGAGTCCCTTAGAAATGCAATGGAATGTGCTTGTTTAGTCAGTTTCTGCTCTCTTCTACAGTAGTCACTATGCTAGGATGTTGGGAAATTGAACTCTTTGGAAAGTAGTTGCCATTTCTGTTGAATTTGTGTCCATGGTTTTTGTTCTGCATAGAAATTGTTCTGTGAGGAAAGCAAAGGGTCATTATTGTCAGATAATGGCATAAATCACCTTAGAGGAGGAACAAATAAATTGACCACTAACGTTGTTGCCGACAGTGTAGACAGAGGAGCAGAACAGCTTTCTGACTTTCTGGCAGGGTCTTGTTCCTGTCTCCATCTCCATGTTGTGTTGCCTGAATACAAAACTGAAATACTGAGCTCTATACCTGCTTACTGTGGATCATGGTTAATGCAAGTGCCAGAGAAGTTGACATTAACACCATAAATATTAATGGAAAAATAGCCTGTGTTTCATAGAATCATAGAAAAGGGAAGTTGGAAGGGGCCTACAAGGCCATCAAGTCCAAACCCCCCGCCCCGCTCAATGCAGGAATACACTCAAAGCATATCTGCCAGGTGATTATCTAAGTTTTTCTTGAATGCCTCCAGTGTTGGAGCACTCACCAACTCCCAAGGGAATTGGTTCTACTGCCATACTGCTTTAACAGTTAGGAAGTTTTTCCTGATATTCAACCAAAATCTGGCTTCGAGCCCATTGTTGCGTGTCCTGCACTTTGGGATGATCAAGAACAGATCTTGTCCCTCCTCTGTAAGACACCCTTTCAAATCAAAAGGATTTGAAAAGTGCTATCATTATCAATCCTCAGTCTTTTTTTTCTCAAGGCTAAACATGCCCAATTCTTCCAGCCTTTCCGCATAAGGCTTGATTTCCAGCCCCCAATCATCCTTGTCACCCTCTTCTGAATGTATTCCAATCTGTTAGCATCCTTGAAATGTGGTGTCCAGAATTGGATACAATCCTTAAGGTGACGGCTAACCAGTGTTGAATAGAGGGGGACTAGCACCTCGTGGGATTTGGAAATTACACTTCTATTAATGCAGCCTAAAATAGGATTCACCTTTTTTGTAGCCACAAAAGTTGAGTTATACAGTGGTGCCTCGCATTACGTTAATTCGTTCCAGCGAAATCGCTGTGGAACGAAAACGTCGTAATGTGAAAAGAAAAAACCCACTGAAACGCATTAAAAGCCATCTAATGCATTCCAAAGGGCTTGAAACTCACAGTCCAGCGAAGATCCTCCATAGGGAGGCCATTTTCGTTGCCTGTAATGCGAGGAATCCGTCCCAGAAAACAGCGGGGGGCCATTTTGTTTACCCGGCGGCCATTTTGAAACCGCCGATCAGCTGTTGGAAAATCATTGTTTTGTGAAGAATCTGTTCCCGAAGCAGGGAACCGATCATTGCAAAGCGAAATTCCCCCATAGGAAACATCATTTTGCGATCACAAAAACTTCGTCATAATGCAATTTCATCGTTAAATGGGGCAATCGTAGAGCGAGGCACCACTGTATTTCCTGTAGTGTGCAGATGCAGATATAAGCATATGCATATACTGTATCAGTCTCTGATAAAACACTAGAAGGTTTTGAAGCACTGCAGAAATTTGCAAAGTAGATGTAAACATCTGACTTGAAGATTTGGAAATTAGGATTAACAGTTTTGTTACAAATCCATAGGTTTAATACTGGTCATATATTTCCCCCTACTCTTTTGTTTCTTCAAAACAGTGATCAATACAGAAGGGAAGAGGCCCCTTTGTAATATTCTTGGCTGAACTATTTTTTCCATTTCAGGATATGCATTTAGAAGACAACACTAGATTCTCTCCTAGGGATGACAACGAACAAACGTCTTTCAGCAGCCAAACTCCAAGGCAAGACCAGAAAGGGGGCTTTCGTAGTTCCTTTCGCAAGTTCTTCAAAAAGAAATGAGCCACCTGAGGCCAGAGTAACAGTTTCTGCATGTTCCCTGGGTTGAGTTCTTTACTTTGAGTCCCATGTAATACAGTGGTTTTGCTTCAAGCAACTTTCGGGTCAAAAGAAGAAACATTTGGATATTAAGACCAATGGTAATTTGTTAGAATTTCCCAGTAATTTGGCCCCAGATAAGACCAAAAAAAAAAAAAAAGGTGAAGCCCTGTATTTTCAGGGATTATTTTATGTATACTCTGGGGGTCATCTGTATATTTTGCCATTCACTCACTGCTGACACCCAGCAGTAAGGGTGTCACATTTCTGGGAAAACAGTAAATGCTATTATCAGTGTTCTCCTCTGAGCTGTTATATAACATGACAAAGCCCACAGAGAAGAGTAAAATTTCATAGCTTTTGCCACATATTTAGAATTGGGTAGAGCTTTAAGGGATGAATAGTTATGTCCTGTGGATCAGCAGGGGAGACCAACTGGTTGACAGTGTATGGGTGAGTTGAGCCAGTAGAAGGAAGCTTGCTGGATCATCAAGCAAATCTAAGACCATCACTCCACTATCCACTTTCTTGCCATAACTGTTCATTATCAGGTAAAATGTGGAAATTTTTTTTGCATAGTTCTGGATAGGTCTGGCTGCCATCTTTAGCAGCTCAGACTTCCATGTAGCCTAAGCACTCAGGAATTCATGCAGTATGATTAAAAATGCTACTGTGACAGTTAGTTTAGTCAGAGTAACACAATACTTAATATAACTGATGAATGACATGAGCTTACCTTTATCTTTCTCTAAAAATGTCAAGTGGTGCTATATTGGAATCTGAATTTTAAACTGATTTCACAGTAAAATTAATTCAGTTTTAAAAGTACCAGAGAGCATTTAGAATTGACAGGATAAAGAAATTCCAGAAATTCACTGGTTGATTACAAGGGTGTTTTTTTTTTGGTTCATTTAAATAAAACTGCTGTCAAATCCTGACTCTGGAAATTGCTTGAGAATGCTTACACTGTAAGTGAAAGTGACCCAGCAAAGTGTTTGGGCAACAATATGATTGAGAAGTCACACATACCATATACTTGAACTCCTTTCAATAGTGAAATAAGCTGGTAAGCAGAAACAGAGCGATTAGCAAAACAAAACTGCTGAGAAAGAAGGAGGAGGTATTTGTATGCTCATTGGAAACCATGAGGATTGTTTAAAAATTTAGAAAATACCTCTAATGGGGACAAGTAATTTAGGAACAAAACATGCTCGCCAGCCACAGCTTGAAAAAAGAAAAAGAAAAAGTGAGTGGGGTACAAAATGCAATATCTACTGGACTACTAGATCAGCCAGATACTGTGTTTTCCTGAAGTAAGACACCACCAGTCAGAGACTTCATTGTGTTTCAGAAAGAAACAAAACAAAAAAACAACACTTTTTGAACACAGCACATTTGGCAGCTACTGAAAGTTGCAAATATCTAACACAATATTTATTTTTCCCTTTCAAGTGGATACATGGCTCTTTATACCCCCAGATACGACAAACTAAATAAAAATAACAAAGCATACTAGCCGACCTAACTTATCACATGTACAAAGATATACACTTATGAGATATGTAAGGCATTTTATTTTTTTAAAAGAACAGATCTCTTGAATGCCAAAAAGTAACAGCCACTATTAATTTTCAGTTTAAATGCAATCTGAATACCATTGCAAACATAGCATACAAAGCTGACCTACATACATGACTAGGTACACACAGGCCAATAAGATTTGCCAGTTTAGATATCACCACTTCAACCTTATACAGCTGGATTGGACTGCCATAGCTTCTTAACCATTTAGCAAAGTATCCATGCCATTAAATTGAAGGCAATACATTTTCAATATAGGAATTATCATAATTCATCAAAACGTAAACGTGTACAAAGAGAACCAGAAAGCTTGGTTTCTAGATTGGCAAATAAGAAATGTTACCTGAAATAAGACCCCACCCAACAAGAGAATCTATTGTTTCAAAAAGAAAAAGAAAGAAAGAATTTAAAAGGCACATTTGGCAGCTACTGAAAAGTTGCATACATCTGGCACAAGATTTTCTCTTCCATCTGGGTGCATGACAGTTTTAACAAGGTCACTCAATTTGAATTTTGTAACTACTGATTGCTTAAATGCACTATTTTGTCTTTGAAGGCAAAAGGGGAATTTGCTCAGAGTTGATAAAAATGCACTTCAAGGTTTTTTAAACGGCAAAAAAGGTGTGCAGTTTTCAAAAATCCAAGTTCTTTTGGCTTTATACTTGTCATTAGCTTGCAGTTAATTTTCTTAGAATCATCATAAACCCACAAAGAAATATGGAAATGAGAATTAAAACCGTTTTAGAGCCAAGTTTAACGCAACCAGATGAGAATTATTCCTTGCACTAGCCTGCCTCTTGGGTGTTTACAGCAAGGCTTCCCGTTTCCCAACTATAAAGGCAAAGGAGCAATAACCAGGATTTATTTTATGCATTTTTGGTACACTGAACAGTAAGTAGGTAAGACACACTGACAAGAACGTACACAGACAATAGGCAGTCAAAAGAAACTATTAAAGGACTCAACTTGGTTCTAATCAAGACTACTCCATTTATACACAATGTGCTGATGTGTAGATGCTACTAGTCTACAACAACCACACACCCATCCTAGTCACATCAGTGAGACAAATTACTTTGTAGAGCAAAGGTGGCTTGAGATCACATTCCTATGTTTAAAAATTAAGAACTTGTAAGAACAATATCAACAGTTCTTACCATTAGAAGAATGCCTGAGGAGTTGGGAGAGAAAATCCAACCAACAGCCACTAGGGGTGGAATTTGAAATCTACATTCCTGACTTTGTAGTCTGCATTTTTGAACTCACCTTTAAAAAACAGACCTGTCATGACTTTTGGGACTTCCATATTTTCTTTCCTGCACTATTCACACCAGCCTGATGAAGACTGCTATAGATCAAAAGCTAGCAATTTTTTTAAAAAAATAGTGGTCCAATAAAGGTATCACTTGCCCTTGCTTTTGTATTCCCCAGGTACGAACTCCATCCCCTACAGAGACACTTTTCAATGATGGGTAGCAGAATAGAACCCAATGCACAGCTGTTTGGATTTTGGCCAATTTTTATGTGCAACTCAGCAGATGAACCTGAAAAATCCACTGACTTTTGAGGGAAACTAGTCTTAGTTAAAAACAAAACAAAACAAAACAAAACTTTTAACATTTCAGACCTGACTTTTAAAACACCAGGGTACACAAAAGCAAGTGACAATGATACCCGCCATTTAAGAAAGTAGGCTTGTGCAGCATAATATGGTTAAAACACGATAACTGACTGATTTAATACAATTTGATTATTTTTTTCTTTATTCATTAAAATAACATGGCTCCAGAAAAAGGCAAGTTTATTATCCTCTTCTAATAGCATGGCCCAAATCGTCATATGCAAATGGAAAATTGCTCCAAGTTAAGAAATCATCATAGACATTATCAGTTGCATGCTGAGTCACAAAAAAGGGACAAGTTTTCTCCTCCAGTTAAAGGATGTTTTTAAGCCACTTAGCTGGTATGTAATATATAATTAAGAGACAATTCCATTTTGGCCAATGTTCAGCTACATAACAATGGATCATATTGCCTCCATACTAACAGATCCTAGCTGCATGGAAAATAGTGTATTTTTTACTGTGTAGTATTCTATGTAACAGAGAAGCTGGTGTATACCAATATTTAATCAAATAAAGATATGATCTTACCTAAGGGATAGCATCTCTGTGTCTCAACCAAGTCTTAGGAAAGTCACAAAGTGGTTTAAGGGGACTGTAGCAATTCCATTAGGGTTTTCAACAAGTTGCAAATATGTTTTCTGGAAGAGCTCAGTGCTTTTTTTAAAAGATTATTAAATAACATGGAAAGTATTCCACTGTACCAAAAAGGAGCTCAATAACAGATTGCTTGGGCAACTTCAGACTAATTCTATTCTAAGACAGCAACAGTTTCAGTCTTACTCCTTCACATAATGGAAGCTGACTGTGGGAAGAGGCCTGTGGCAGAGCCCACAGATCACTCAGGTATAGTCTCCACTTCACTGTGTCTCTGGGAGTCTATAGTATTCAGAGGGTTAAGATCTGCATTTCCAAAAGTCCAGCTGATGCTTTGTTTAGTGGTTTGAATATTTTGCCTAAACCAGTATAAATGGATTCACTTAGTATTTCAGCTTTAAAGCCAATGACTTACCCATTTGTCAGCTGGATTGCATCAGGCAGGGCAACCCTAGCACTTTTGGGGCTGCTGCAAATATTTATGTGAATTGTGTTACTGTAAAAGCTTTTTATTAAAGGGTTAATAGTAGACTAGACTTCTGTAAGACACTGTAGGTAGCAAATGCTGAACAGAATTACCAAATGTAAAGTCGTTTGTTTCATTTACCATATCCTAAAAATGTACTTATTGCCTTGACTATGGGAACTCTTTTTCCCCCTCTAGTAGGCCAAGCCTGGAGAATGACATACAAAGAAAGTTCTCATCTGGCTGGCTGGATTGGACTGGTTTTATTTGCAGTAAACTTCTTATGGCAGAATTTTTTTCCATTTTCTTCTGTGTTACAAATGAAATAAAAACACTGAGCTTATATGGAGACTACTTTCCCGACATTTCCTTGAAAAGTTAAATATTTCTAGAAACCTTTATCAGCAGCTGAATATCAACCTAACATAGTTTTGCCATTATATTTTTTCCAGAACACCCTTCCTTTGAGTTTGCATATTGTACATGTACAGCTAAAAAGGAATTCGTTTAAACCAGATTAAATGAACACTTCCTGAAATGCAAAGACCACACTGCATAGTGCTGAAGAAATGTCTTAGAACAGTAGGTTTTCACTGTGATATAGTCTTCTGTCAACACTATTCCACTGACATGGCTTTTTAGATTGCTGAAATGTATTTTTGTTTTCCCAAAAATATTCTATGAGTCTTAGCAACCAAGGATACAACTACTGCACCATTCACAAATCCCAGTGTAGCAGAAATAATTAAAATATCTTCAATAAGTAGCATGCATTATCATCATGGTACTGGGAATTAGAAGCCCAGTTCACAGGTCTATGGATAATCCAACTCACATACATTAGTCTCTTTCAAACTTCTGACATACAGTAATAAAGATCAATACTGAAGTCTATAAGATTAAACAGAGTTTGGAATTTGATATTGCATGATATGCATTATATTTTAAGTACACAGATGCTAGCACTGAGCCACCTTTAACTCACCTTTATTTCCAAACCTAGGATTTCCTCTGTTTATGCTTTATAGACTAGAACAATGAGCTAGAAAGAGAAGTGTGTGTACCACAACATGTGTCTCCTTCTTACAGCTTCAAATTGAAATGTACATTTAGCAATGCAATAATTTAATATATGTCAGCCAGACAAAATATCTGTATCTTTATTTCAATTAAATTAAAAACAATCTGTAAGTATATGCAACATTCACTATATACACATGATTTATTTATGCAACTACAAGGCGATTCTACGGGTGCTGATTATTCATCTATCTACTGTTAGTTAAAACATGGTGATAATTGAGATATGGCCAGCGGATCATCCTTTGCATTTCCATGGCATAATCAAAGATGTTGCACTACCAGCCATAAAGCGGGTTACCAGTAAACCTTAAGATGAAGAAGACCTAACCTAGTCCAAATTTAACAGTCTTCTAAATATAGGGATAAATTTAGCTCTGCTATGTTTTGCAGTTTTTCATTGGTGTCATTCATATAATTTGTTTAAAGAAGGCAAAAAGTAGGCATTCTGCTTCCCGGCTGAATTTCTTTTTGAACTGGCACCATAATATTCATATAGAAGGAAAGTACCTCTTTGGTGAAGCCTAGGTACCCACAATGGACTAGTAACAGTTTGTAAACAGTACTGCAGTACAATGCTATGCTTTAGCTTTAGGTTGATTCAGTACCACAGATCTTCTTCACAGTCCAGTTCATGATTTGAAAGCAGGGAATAAAAACAAAAGAACATTAAGGATACTACCAAGTTCTCTGTTTGAGAATTTTTTAAAAAGTGCATAATAGTTTCACTCCAAGACCTTACAATGCGATCGACAGATGATGACAGGACTATATTTCTCATCCTTCACTGGACATTACACAAAGCATGGTGTCTGCTTATTGGCCCAAAGAGATCTGCAAGTCTGATTACTGGTACATTCAGATGTCCAGAGACTTTAGAACAGCGTCCTGCATTCTATACTAACAAACAGCAACAGTTTTCTTCCATGACAGGGAACCTCTTATTAAGATTCATGTATGTCTACACCATATATCAAATTTACTGTAGAGTCTTTAGTGTTAGGAGCATCACAGCTCAACTCCTTGATGCCAAAAGGTACAGTGAATCTATTGCCAGCAACAGACATGGCACCAGAGCAAGCACTCTCTCTAGTGTAAGGGAGAATTCAGGTAGAGTGGGCATTCTCCAGCAGGGGAGGTCCATCACGATGCATCAATGGATGTGTGGGCTCTCTTTTGTAAGTTTTTGGAGGAAGCTTTGGGATATGCTGAGAAGTGCTTTGCCGTGGAGGAACTGGTGGCCCAGCAACAGGATGGAGGTCCGTCTCTTGGGGTATCAAAGGGGGTGATGGCAAATGCCTCCGTGATACATGGGGAGAAGGGGTTTGTGGAGGCGGAGGAGTAAATGGAGAGGGGCTGTTGGGAAAGAAAGTATTTCCAAGTTCACTTTTTCTGCCTAAAGGTGGTGGCTGGAGATGGAGAGGTGAACTAGAAAAAACATCAGGAGTTCGCACAGGTTCCCGTGGTGGCAATACAGGTGGGCTTTCTGGGGCATCTGAAAGGGAGGTCCTGTCTGGCACCGAGTATCTCGGTGAATAAATTTTTGATGTTGGCTGTCGAGGAGGAATTGCTGGTGGGCTATCCAGATGTGCAGAAGAAATCTGAAACACAAACAACACTTCAGTCGTAGAATAGTCTAAAGCTTCAGTGCTGCAAAATGAATGTATCAAGAGAGATCTCCTAGCAGTATAGGTGGAGACAACTTTACAAATTGTGCATTCAGAGGTGGCTAGAGCTGTCATCCACTCACTACAGGTTACTATCATCCTTCTGATTTAAAAAAGCCACCTCAGTAAATCTGCACTTCCTTTATATTCAATATACCCATACCCTCAATACGAATCATTTTCAAAGAGCAAAAAAAGTCGACTGGCTTTCATTTGCCACTACTCTTTGCAATCTTCTTTTCTCCAACAATTGACTGAAGGTTCCAAAGAAGGCGAAAAGCCTGGTAACTAAAGACTGCGTCTCTCTCTGCATGAACCTGCTAAAATCATCAGAGGAGGCCTTTCTGTCATCCCCACATTCCTCGTATCCACATTTGGTAAGGACACGAGAGAGGGCCTTCCTTGTCACAGTTCCTAAGCGATGAAACTCCCTCCCATGGGAGCTCATTCTGGCTCACTCCTGGCTGTCCTTCTGCAAGCCGGCCAAGATCTGCTCTTCAGGCAGACTGAACAACTGATTTTGTAAAATGGTTTTAAACTGTTTTTAACTACTAGTTTTTAATTTGACATATGTTTAATTCTTTTTAAAATATTGCAATCATTTATTGTTTTCAGCCTTTAATATTGTTTATTTTAATAGTGTAAGCTGACCTGGGTTCTTCTGAGGAAAAATACATGGTACAAATATTTTATATAAATAATATCAGGCAAAATCCAAAGAAACAAAACAAGACAAAAACATGTGGCACTATTATATTTCAATGTAAGCTTTCATCTAAAATTTCATTCTGTTTCCATGTCTTGATGAAGTGAACATTTCCACAAAAGCTTACATTAGTCTTTAAAGTGCCACATGTTTTTGTCCATTTTTGCTTTGTGTCTTTGGATTTTGCCTGATATGCTTGCTCAGACTAACATGGCTACCTCTTCTAAAATTATTTAAATAAATAAATTATACAGTTATGGTGAGAGCATGATGGGCTATTTAGGTTGTCTCCCAAGGGAAGAAAATTAATTTGAAAGGTAGATTTCCATCTTGTTGCATTGTTTCATTCTGAACTGATCACACCCCCTCCAGAGGACAGAGAGGATGAGAGGAGGCTATGTGCTTCAGCACAGGAGTTGAAACATTTTAAATAGAAAAAAATGTTCTGAAGGGGAAACTGACTATGCTTCAGTTCAGCCATTAGATGCAGAAGCTTACAACTCATGCATCACAAATTCAGCCACTGGTGGCATTCATACAATTCATCCCTGATGACCAGCAGGGAAAGTGAGCCACCAATCTTTTCATCTGACGTAAGGCTGCCAGGATCTATATCCTTGGATGGAGGGAAGAGACTGCCACAACTTCCCACCTCACTCCAAGATGCATCCTCCAAATTATTGGCATTATTGTGACAATGAGGGTGATTTCTGTAATCAATCACCATTCATATAAGAAAAACTCAACTGGTATCCTGATAGCCATGTCTCCACATTCTGCGCTGCAATTTTCCAGATACGTTCCAATCTGAGGAAATATTTGTTGGATGGTTTGGAGGGGTGGTAGAGAATGAATTGGGTGCTTACTTTAGAGAGATGTCTGTTGTCATGTTTGAGGAGCCCTGAGGGTAAGTTGCCGTCATGGTTTGGCAGGATATGCCTGATAATCATCCCAGGAACATGCAGGAAAGGGCAAGCATGATCGTGAACTAGGCTCTTGTTCTGGTTACTATAGCTAATTTGAAAAGGTGGGCAGGGCTGGGAGCGTGCTGTCACTGCCATCCTCATAGGCAACAGCTTTAAAACTGGTTTTAAAACTAATTCCTCTTTTAAAATAAAATGGCACCCACTTAAGAAACTTAAAGGACATGGCAACAGAGGCAAAGAACAAGGTGGCAAATTTGGGACATTGTTTAGTCTCAGCCTCGTATAAGAGAAGCACTGCTTGAATGTGGCTTTTTGTGTTTACCATGAGGAAGCATTTCTATCTGGATCAGAGTAATAGGGAATACAGGTGGGAACAAGATACATGTTCTGCACTAATGTCCTGCTTATGGGCTGCCTCACAGGCAATTCATCTGTAACTAAATATGGAGTAGGAGACTACAAGGCCTTCAGCCTGATCTACCATGGCTCTTCATCAGATAGAAAATATGGAGATTACCTGAGCCCTGCATCATAAATGAGTACTTATACATCTGCAATATAATGAGGGGAGATCCTGATACCTTATTCCTCACTAAATTCCTTCTGCAGTTCATTTAATACATAAGGTGACAGCTAAAGCCAATGCTTCTTCGGCCACAGGGTTGCAACATTTAAAATACTGTCTGTATATGTAACTTTGGCTTCATTCTACTATTTCTATTCTATGCACAAAGCATGAATTAGATATATTTCCATACTATAATTCCTACTTTAAAACTGAGTCAAGAAATCACCTTTGATGGAGAGGATTCTGCAGGAGCAGATTCTGGCCGTCTTCGGGGAGGTATAGGAGGAGGAACAGTCATTTCATCTGAGCTTTTGGGAAAACTTATAGAGGACACAGAAGCAGACCCTGGGAATATATAAAAACTTTAGTTACCCACTGCATTTCGTTTATTGGTTCTATATGGCTCATTTGGTTCTATATACTACTCATTTTGGACCGAGGAGATAAGTGGTATGAGAGAGGGGTCAGGAAGGCCATACATGTGCATATAGAAAATCCCTCACTCAACAGGGGTGGAAACCTTAGATACAATCTGTCTTCTATTTATCATACTGCCCTTTCGTCCATCCCCGGGAAGATCAGGACCCACCAGAAAGACCACTGTTAATGACCCATGACAATGGGTGGAGAAGGACTGCAGCGGTGGGATTTTCTCCCCCCCCCATCCATTGTCCATCAATGAGTCTATTTGACCAGGGTGAAGTGAAACTAGTGCGTATTCTTGTTGACAATACTTAACGAACAATCAACATCTGTGTGTTAATGGAAAACTGGATCCATTTCATTTGAATACCGTACATCTAAGCCCTCCTTTCTAAATCAAAGCTTGAACTGAACTGAACTTAATTAAGATTCTGTTCTGACAAATACAAGTACCAACTTACAGATTTCTGCACTTTGACATACATAGAAAACACGCACATAATGGAGGAAAGAATAATCCTAATTGTGGAACCTACTTGAATGAAAAGGGGTTGCAGGATCTGAGTCAAATACACTACAAGCATCTGCGGCGCTGGAAGTGGATGATGGAGGAGGTGGGGTGAGCGGAGTTCTTGGGGAGTTTGGTGCTGAAGCAGTACTCTCAGTTTCACTTTCAGGGACACGACTGTAACTGATTTTTCTTGGTTCTTGCTGCAGAGGTGTCGGGTGCCGCATGGTGCCTGGCCTTGGATTTGATGGCCGAATACCCGGAGATTTGAGGGAATAGTTGTATTTTTTGGGCTGCAAGAAAATCCAAACCCAAAACTTAGAAGACCATCTAATTAATGTGGCTTTTATTTTCAATAAAATAATATTTCATGTTTCTTTCTTCTAAAAACCTAATTTCGGAAACTTAAAGAAAACAACTTGAATTACAGCAAATAAAAGAATAAAAACTTAATACTCACAAATCTTGGAGGTGGCTTGACATTACGTGGCTCGATCTCTAAGGACTTGTTGTAAAGAGAATCTGTAAATTCTTTTTCCAAGCAATTTCCCATTGGATTTAGATTTTCAAAGAATCTCTGTAACCCAAAACATTCAGAAGGATTGCTGCAGGATAGCATAATTAACTCTGAATGCATAACACAGTTGACTTTGAAAGCAACAGCTACAGACAGAACCCTTCAAGTAATTAAGCAACAGCCTGGCCCTAATGGCCTCTTGTTGCAGGACAGAGACTATGCAGATAATGTTATCTCTTCCCATTTGAAGAGGACATGAACCTGTGCATCGTAAGTGGATTAGTAGCCGCTTCTAGTAAATACCATAGGTAATGGCTAGAACAAGAGACAGAGGTTTGCCACCCTTTGGTCCAGCCACCTGAGTCTGCCCTTTGAGCATAATTGATGATAAACTTGTTCTAAAAGTCTAGCATTTTTCTTCACCCTGCTGTGGAACAGATTTTTTCTTCTCATGCCCCGTGCAAGAAGGTTTCCAAGGGAACTTCATAAATAAATAGAATCTCTTATGTCTCCTACTATTATACTTTGTGCCTATGTGAACACAATTCAGTCTCCAGGTTGCAAGCCAGAGCCATGTTGGATCAGAGTGAATAAATGTGCTTGCTTGGCTGAAGCAATCAGATGAAGATACGATCAAGGGGAAAGAAAATGCCCTGTGGAACAGAGTAGTGAACCACAGTCTATGTAGCAATGAGGTGACCTTTGTTCCTTGAAATGCTTTCCCAAAGAACTATAGCAGTTATCTAGCTTTAGAACTCGGGGGAAGGAGTGAAGTCAGTGGGGTTACATACAACAGATTGGACAGCATTGCACTGCATCAATCTTGTGGTTCACTGAAGACTGCAACAAACATACCCTGGCTGTAATGCCTCACTCAGAAAACAAAAATGAGGACACAATGAAGGGCAGTCATTCCATAGGCCAACAAATGGACATATAAATATTCTTAATGCCTTCTTTTAAACAGAGAAAATAGCACAGAATGGGAAACAACTCATACAATAGAAAACAGTAACCAATGAAAACGTTAAGGCATTGCTGATTGTGTGTGTGGTGGTCTATTCACTGGATACTTGAGTGACAACTTCTCCATATAGATTACAGAACAATCATGCACTGAGGGTTTGCTGATGATGTCCACCCTCACTTCTCAGTCCTTCTCTGTAGCACAGGTGTTCAAAATGATCACTTTTGACTCTATTCTCTTCCCCTGCTTTCCTTTACTTTCTCTCTTCCATTGTCTCCCTTTTTTTCCTCTTTAACTTTTTAAAAGGCTCCAGTATTTTCCCCCCAACGGTGTCTCTCCTCTTTACTGTATTCCATGGCCTATAGGAGCAGACATTAGACCACAAATGAGCATCCAAATTGCAGCAAACATGGAAAGGATCAGACCCAACTCTGCACCGTCTAGCTTGTGTGTGTGTGTGTGTGTGTGTGTGTGTGTGTGTGTGTGTGTGTGCGCACACGCGCGCGTGCTCTGTGACACTAAGTTTGAACTAATTTATAGTCACCCTAGTAGGGCTTTCAAGGTAAGTGAGACATTTTAGGAGTGGCTTTATCAATTCTACTCCACCAGTGAGTTTCCATGGCCAAGTGGGGATTCAAACTCTGTTCTCCAGAGTCCAGGTCTGTCACTCTATCCACTACACCACACTGGTTGTTGTTGTTTAGTCGTTGTGTCCGACTCTTCATGACCCCATGGACCAGAGCACACCAGGCCCTCCTATCTTCCACTGCCTCCCGTAGTTGTGTCAAATTCGTGTTGGTCGCTCTGATGTCGCTGTCCAACCATCTCATCCTCTGTCGTCCCCTTGGATAGCCAACAAACAGCAACAGAGCATGGACAGAGTTCCCACTCCAGTCCTCTGAAGATGCCGGCCACAGAGACTGGTGAAACATCAGGAAGAACATGGCCAAAGAACCCGAAAAACCCACAACAATCATCAGATCTTGGCTGTGAAAGCCTTCGAGAATACAACACATAGTCCTTTAGCCGAGACTAAAGAAGAATGGTCTGAGTTGTTGCATCAACTATTTTCATGGATTGGGGAAAGCTCGACTGTTGTCAGTGGCACCCAAACTGCTTTCATGAAAAGCCTCACAAGGCTGGTACATATTAGTCAAGAGCATAATGCAAGGCTGCACGCTACTGTCCACTTATTTTAACTCCCTTCATTCAGGAAGAAGCACTAGCTGCAGTAGAAATTGAGTGCAACAACCAACTGGTATATCTTGCCTCCACACAGAAGAATAGAGATGTGGTAGTCATTTTGAGCAGGAATCCACTATGGGACTAAATAATTGCTTAAAGGACCATGAACATGGTAAGTGCCACAGATCAGTCAAATGTTGAAAAAGACTAGCTCCCTCCATTCCCACCCCATCTAAACAAGTGCTGGGAATAGAAATAAAGTTTTCTGGTATGCCAAGGCCAACAAAGGCCAAGTTACCGAGGGAAGCCGGAAAAAATGTCAGGCCTTTTCAAGGAAGTTAAACTGGGACAGGTGGTGCCTCCTTTCAGATACTGAATGATTTGCTTAAGCTCAGCTTTCAGAGTGGGTAGGGGTAGATAACAAATGCTTGGCACCTTCTTCTTTCAAGAAAGTAATTTTGCTGCATTACAGGATGTCTGTGTTACTTAAACAGCATTTCCTATTCCATGTCTTAACTACTTGAAGATACACATGCTCCCCCAGTGGAACTAACATCAGCACAAGTTTTTTCCTCCAGGTCAGTACGCAAAAGAAGGCTTTGTAAATGACTTAAGTCTGGGACTAAGGTCTACTCATGGTCTGAATAAAAAAGCTGATTCTAAAAAGGTACAAAATACTACTTACCCTGATGTCAGGCTCTACTTTTAGGCAGTATGGCTGGTTTTGGTACTGCTGGATTTCCCCAGTTATTTCAGCCACCTTCCTCCGTTTGCTGAAATTGATCAGCTCTTTTCCATGCCTTTTTAGAAATTCAGGATTGCCTTCTTCTGTTTTTAAGATGTTTGTTAAATAAATTCCTGCAAATAACAGGCAAAAAATGCACATCTATAAAACTGCTCTGCTGTTCCAAGACAAATTTATTTTTTTAGGAAGGGAAAGGACAGATTCACACACTTGCTTAGCTCCATGTGTCTTTCAGCCTCCTTATCTTTCCAGATAGTTCAGCCTACAGTTTCTACAACTGCAAGTCTCTGGCACAAAAGCCAAAAGGCTCCTGGATCTGTGGCTCCCACCTCAGGGCAAGCAGCCAGAAGGCTGTAGCAGCTGGGCCCAGGGCAGAAACGAGTAAGGACTAGGCCGTAGTCTTGAAATAATAGGTTGGATCAGGGGCTAGCATCTGTGGTGATGCTTCTTTCAAGAAAGAGATTGAGACCAGTCCCATTAAAAAGGGCTGGGAATATTCCTTACCGGCCTTGATATGCGGTTGTATTTCCCTGGGTCATCAAGGTATGGTGTTCAGTATGATGAATGAAATCAATTGACTTTCACTAACAAATACACTCTTCTCCGTAAGAATGGGATTTTTATTGCTGACTAGGAAGAGATTTAAACTGCCTGTTTTAGTAGGGATTTCAAGTATTACATCTGGAAGTCCAATTAGTGTGGCCACAGCCAGGAAAAGGTATGATACTGGAAACTAGGCAGGTAGAGAGGCAGGCTACATATCAGTCTGATCCTTTCCACAACCACAGGGTCCAAAACGGTCTCATAAGACTGTCCTTGGGCCTTCTAGTGACCTTGAATGTAAGGTTAATATATAATAAAATCTCTGTCACCTGTAATGTAACTGTAGATGATGAGGAAACTAATTTAATATGAATAACTGAAATCTAGTTAAAAGAGATAATGTAGAAAGCCTGAGGTATTTTTCCCTGCACACTCAATTTCAGTATTACAACAGGCTGATGGTCTCAGCAGACAGCACTGATCTGGCCTAAAAGAAGTCTCTCTTTTTAGGTCCAGATAAGTACCAGTCTGGGGTATCTGCATGTTTTGTTAGGTGAGGGGAACACACTGGAGGTTCTACCTATATACTGTCCCTGACACCTGATAACTTTCCTACTTGAGCTACCTTAACACAGGTGGTTTATTTGGTTTGTATTACATTTAAAGCCATCACAATGTCTATTAGTTTTATTGTTATTATGTTGCTATTACAGTTTAAATTTCAGCGTGCTACTCCTAAACAAATCTATATTAGGCAAGTAGTTTTGCTTTTATATTATATTTTATGTCACGTCATTATTGTTTTATATTGTCATTTGCTCTTATTGTGATTTTATCACGTCATTATGTTTTCACTTACACTGGCAATTTCTGAAAACTCAGCCAAAGGACTTTTGATCTCTAAAAACAGGTGAGTCTGATTTGCTGCCAACTGATTCTTCCAACCTTTTCCCAACATTGCCTGTGCCAAGCTCCCAATGCGTCACATGGTCAGTAACACAAGGCACTTGCCTCAATCAATAGTTGAAGGGTGTGCCAATGGGCATGACCAAGCTGTTTTGCCAACAAGAAATATCTTTTCTTTTCTTTTTTTTAAAAAAATCTCTCTGCTCAGCTCTTTTTCTCTTTCAAAACATCACATTGCTCAGAGATAAATAAACCTTTTGTTTGTCTGGACTAGCACCTCATAACACCTAGTATCCTTTTCTTTCTTAAAACACTTCCAAAAACCCAGCTTTTCTTTGAAGTCTTTGTTACAACTAGAGATGGGGGTATTTGAATACGAATACAGATCCCCTCCCACAGGTGGACATCACGAGGGTCCAGCCCCCTGGGGTTGGACCGTCCACTCAACTTCTGTTGTTGCTGTGACTTCTGAGTTCCCTTCCTATCACTCTGAAGCTCGCGTCTGCGAGCCACTTTTTGACCTTGCTGTCCTCCCGCCTCCTGCCAGGAGTGGCTTTCAGACCAAAGCTCTGGAGCGATAGGAAGGGAGCACAGAGCTCACAGCAACAGCAGAAGGTGAATGGATGGTGCGGCCCCAGGGGGCTAGACCCTCATGTCCACCTGTGAGGGAGGATTCGTACTCATATACCTCCATCTCTAGTTAGGACCCTCAGTTCCAATACTCAGTTAACAACAATGGCAATACAGCAAGATAATGTATGCATCTCTCCTAGTTCCCCCCTCCCCCCCTCTTTCTTTTTTTTTCTCTTGTATTCATTTTCAGACTATAAACTAAGGTGCACTGAGGAGTATATAACCAGAGATTAAACAAGTTTTCAAGTTTAAATATAACAGGGATCTATTATTTAGCCTACCTTGGACATTTTTAGTACTACTGCATGAATGAAAGGATGAGGAAAGGCTAACCATGAAGACACGTAGGTTGTTCTTGGCCTACAGAATATAGTGGTGGTGGTGGAGAGTCAGAGAATAATTAGCAAACACTTTGTTTAAAGTTTGCAGTAGAAAATTCCATGCTGCAAGGGATGGCTTGATACCACACTCCCCAGCTGATGTTTCCAACTGATGTCTGAACTCTCCTCACACAAGCAGACTTAGCATGGACATATGCCATGAATTTTTGAGATGCTTGCTACAATTTTTTCTGTGCTATCCAACCTGATAAATTGGATTTTCTTCAAGAAAGCATGCAATTTGTTTTATTTTTTTTAGTGGAGAAATAAATGTACCACCCTATTCTGTTAGAATATGGTATGTTAGGCTACATTCCTTAGAACTGAATAGGCCCACTGACAGAAAACACATTTGATTCATCCTGAACTACTTCCCACTGAAACATGATGCTTTTTTATGCTGAAAAGGCAACAGGCTGGGATATAGTTTTTAAACTTTTTTACTTTAGACTAATTCCACATCTCGTTATTTAACTATCTGTGACTTTTATTTTTATCAAGAATTACGTTCTACATACCAAAGAAAGGCACGCATGGAGGATTAATAGACCTGAGCTTTGCCAAGTACTTCTTATGGTGGTCTTCACTAAGTTCATGAGCTTCTTCAAAGATCTTTTTCTGTCGGCTTGGGATTTGCTGAAAATATATAGGGAAAGCAGAGAATATTTTTTTCCAACAACAAGCCACAAGCTAGGATGGTCACCAACATTCCCTCTAGGTTTCTGTACTGCTGCGTTGGTGTAGCGTCATTTGAAACAGGAAGTAAACAAGCCAGCTGCCTGTGCACAACCCAGACAGAGCTCTGGGCAAGCATGTGCACTAGGAAACATTGGTGGTCACAAATTTGGAAGGACCACCTAGGCCACTCAATATTTATCACTCTATTTGCAAGGTTTGTTTTCTCCAACTCAGTGAAATACTTTCCATAAAAATAAATCTGCAACACTTAATATGGAAGTTCAACTTGACCTTATAAGCATGAGGCAAAATAAATATTTATGTTGCACTTTGCAAATGTTCTAACCAGACACTGAGATTATTTGTATGACCTAAATCCAATATCATATTGGGACTTCAGCATCAATGTAATTAAAAATTCTTCTCCTCTTCTTCATGCAGAGTCTTCAGTACTTCACTGGAGAGCTTTCCAGCTCTCTGAAACAGGTTTTTGAAGTGTGCAATGGATTACTGGACAGAAGATAGTCCCCTCTTTAAACCACTGATGGAAGCAGTTTGCTCTTTCAGATCTGAGCCTATATGTAGAAAAATGTATTCACCAATCTCCATTTCCCACACTAAATATACAATGAAATACTTATGCCCTTTCAAAGGTATTTACTTACTTCAAAGGTGTGATCCAGTCTGTAAATTGGTGCAGAGTTCATAGCACTGACAACCTCAAGAACACCGTTAAAGTTGTTTAGTTCTTGAAAAACTTGCAAGATCTCAATTATCCGACAAACTACCATCACTCTTTCTTCTAGGTTTTCTGTTTCTACAATGCATCTAAACACACACAAAAAGTTTAAAATTTCTTAGGACAATGCTTAAAAGCAATACAGTGGGGGCTCGACTTATGAACGGCCCGAGATACGACCTTTCGACTTAAGAACCGCTCTGAGAGGAAAATATTTCCTCGACCTGCGAACTCTATTTCGAGTTACAGAAGGGAGGAAAAATGCATGTGAAAAACCCTTCCACAAAAGCTCTTCCCTTTGCTTTCTGTTCCCGAAGGTTGTGCAGCGTCTGACCCTGCCTGCTAATTAATTACCCATGGTCGGTTCTGGGGGGAAGGCACAGAGCTTTTCTTTCCAGCCACTTCCCGTTCTCTCACCCCACACACACACACCTCCACCGCCACAGTTTTACCCAGGCAGAAGCGTCCAGAGGAAGAGGCCGGCACCACTGTCCAGATGTGGCCTGGGGAGGATGCACCCCTTCCCTGCGCTTGACTCGCCCTCTCCCCCTAGAAGCAGAGCCTGGGAGGCGAGTGGTCACCATGCACACCCCGGCCCGTCTAGCCGCCGCTTCTCCATGCTTGGGCAGGCTCTCCCCGCACAGCCACACCCCCATGGCAAGGAGGAGGGGGCAGCAGGGGGAGAGTAGCTGCCCTGAGGGGCCAGCCAGAAAGCAGGGAGCCCCTCTCCCGGGGGGGGGGACTCTGGATGCCGGCCCCGCCGCTCGCCAGCCGAGTCCTCCATCTGAATCGTGCTCTGAGGAGGGGCGGGGAGAAAGGCAACCAAACAGTAAGTTTCCACCTGGCCGCCGCCGCCACCAAGTGCTGGGGAGGGAGGGTGGAATAGAGGGGGGGGAGTGTTGAGGGGAGATCCTTGCGGGGAAGGGGGGGAGGAGGGAGGGATTCCCCTTTCGGTCCCCAAGCTGCCTGGCCACCGCCAAGTTCTGGGGAGGGAGGGTGGGAGAGAGAGAGATGAGTGTTGAGGGGAGATCCTTGCGGGGAGGGAGGGAAAGCCCCCACCCCCACAGTCGCTGCCCCTGCCATCAGTCCTGGGGGGTTGCCCTGTCTCTCTCCCCTCCCTCCCACTTTTAGGGGAGGCCAGGCAA